TCCTGTCCGTGAACATTGAAGTTCACGCACAGAGAAGACGAGAAGATGTAATAGAGAATTAATTCCACCTTTCGTGATGCAAGCCACCATTTATAAATTATAAAACAGCAAAACAAAGTGTATTACTGTAAACAAATAGGGAACTTGGTTGCAGCCAGCACGGAAAAAAGTAACAACGGTTCTGTGCAATATAGTAATACGAAATGTTACAAGCAGAGAACATTGCACACCTAAACCAAGTAATAAAGACAGCATTTGATGTACATACTCTCATAATGAGAGGATATTAACCGTGAGACAATATTTCACACCTGAATCAAGCAATAAAATTGGTGTCTGATGTACAGTACAAGCTCTTATAATGGGTCTGATGTACAGTACAAGCTCTTTCAACCATGAGCTCTTATAACTGTCTGATGTACAGTACAAGCTCTTTCAACCATGAGACGGCCGCAGCTTTAACGAGCCTGGACTGAGGACGGGTGGGATAAGACGTAGGGACGAGTTTCCTAGCGGGATTATTGTCCCCGACAATAAGCAACTATAAATAGGAACAGCCTCGTGTTGACTAATACGCAATTTAATTTATTCGTATGATTTTACATGTCTCTTTATACTCATTTGATCTCAGCCTTGAGTTTTAGCAGAAGTAATTGGCATACAGAAAACACTGGTCATGGGCCCGGTCTCTGATACTGGTGTGCCTCCGTAACTCTGGCTGAATATAACGCTTCTGAACGCCATATTGTTCAGCCACACCTTGTCTTCAAGAGCACTTTTGAAGCTTTCCTTTACGGATTCTCAGCCACACCTTGTCTTCAGGCAATCTTGAAGCTCACACTTACGAACTCGGCCACACCTTGCCTTCAAGCAATCTTGAAGACAAGGGGCCAGATTCACGAAGCAGTTACGCAAGCACTTGCGAACCTGTGCATCTTTTCTCAATCTTTGGCGGCATTGTTTACAATTATTAAACAGTTAATGAGCTCTGAAGCACCAGGAGGCTGTTTATAACAATAACAACAGTTGATTGGCAAGTTTTCATGCTTGTAAACTGTTTAATAAATGTAACCAAAGCCCTCAAAGATTGAGGAAAGATGTACACGTTCGTAAGAGCTTGCGTAACTGCTTCGTGAATCTGGCCCAAGGTGTGGCTGAATACTGTGGCCTCCACTTATGAACTTTCTTGGATTCAACACTTCTCCATATATCCGCCCTTATCTTATTTTCCTGTCAGCTGTTTATGTTCCAAGCGCCTTGTCGTGGCTCATATGGAAAGCTGTCTCCTCTTTTGGGAAGGGTGGAGAACACGTTAGTCCTCCCGGTCTCAACCTTAACAGTTCTGTCTAAACGTATAGGAACTGTCAACGCTGCAGCGGTATTCCAGTCGTCCACAGTTCTTTGTCTACCTGTCGTCAGTAGTTATGATAAACACAGACAGTATTTATCTATCAGTGACTACGGGAAATGAGGTCTAGATGCCCCTACTAGTTAGTTTTGTTGTACCTCTTACGTTATAGTTTAACTATTCTGACGTTTGAATTCTTTGTGGAATCTGACCTTTGTGGATGAAGATGGCTTCAACAACTTATTCAAAACAGAAATTTTCTCAAATATAAATTAATATTATTTTATATTACCATATTGTACATATTTAGGCATTGGTTAGGTTAGGTGTTTAGGTTCTGTTGGCGCTTATTTGTATTTGTAGTACGTGGGTGAAACATTTACAGCGTCGTGGTTCGAACAAAATTTGTCAGTGAAGCACTTGTTCCTGAAGTGTAATTTATATCTGAGAAAATTTATGTTTTAAATGAACAGCATGTTAAAATTGATGAATGCGTCTTTGGGGTCGACCACTGGATGGAATGGACTTGGTCTGCGGACGGGTAGCCTGACGATGGTTAACAAAACTAACAGACTCACAACAGATTACACAAACAAAAGAGGTTGCTCCAATAAACTTCCTGCCCCCGACTCCTACCTCCTGTAACCCTTGTTCTGTCATTTCCAATCTTGTCCCGCTCAAACTGTCTACAGTATATGTGCTCCTTTTCAACTGTAAGAGTCTCATACATCACATAAAGTTTCCTGTGAGGCTTCCATGACGTGTGTTAACCTTGCGTGACGTCCTAGGGAAGTGTCTTGGCTTCTCTTAGCCAACATTTTCTACATATGTTATAACTGGACAGTCGTTCTTATATGGTAGTTTAACATATGAGTTATTTTCATTAATTGCTTTTTAGTCCTTTTTTTGGCTCTGTCGTTCGTCACACTTGCGTGACTTGGTACATAGAAAAATTTAAGTGCTTTATGTCTATTGTAGATTATTAATAATTTCGTGATATTCATGACTACAGGGTGCAATAGAATTTCAGGGTATTTTCAGGGAGCTTTAGGATTATACTAACAGAGAGAGAGAGAGAATGTAAATGTTTCCTTGTACGAACAGAACAGTTTCAACGATCGTATCATCATGAATTCTAAAAAAATAGAACTCATTTTCGTAAGATGTTGATGACAAAAATAATTACTTTAAAAATCCAAGTATTTTGCAAATAATTGCCTAATGACACAAACTGTTAAGTAAATATCTAACACTAATAATGATATATAGGTGAAGGCAAGACCCGCATTACTACGTAATGTAATCTATGTATTATAATCTATGTAAGCTATGCACAAGACATGCATAGCTCTTATATGCAACAATGTGCCGCTTTTTTTTGGGTAGCCTAAGAAATAATGAAAACAATAATGTGCTGCTAACTGTTCAACTACCATGATTTTGTTTTCCCCTGTTTAGCTTCTAAATAAAATATCTATCGCCAAAAATTATCTTCTTTAGCTTGAGTGGTATTCAATTGACCCCACACAGTTATTTACTTTTCCATGCTTGCCCGTTTCCACAAAATAAAACATTCCCTCTGGCGGCCATTTTCAAGATGAATGCCATAGGAACAATTCGCGATGCCAAAGATCAGTTTACAATTAATTGATCTATCGTTCAAAGTTTATTATTCTATTCTATTTTAAAATACACACTAGTGTTAATAAGCCACCCTACTAATATAGTTATAGACTTCTAAAAAGGCGATAATCCACAAAACACACACACACATTACGGTTGAGAGGCGGGACCAAAGAGCCAGAGCTCAACCCTCGCAAGCACAACTCGAGAACAGCCTATGATCCTCTTTGACACAACATGTTTGGAGTTTCCAACTATATAATCAGTCGTATATTGTTATTCTAGTATGTTGTTATCCTAGTGTGTTGTTATCCCACCTCTCGAGTGGCTTAATCCTCATCAGTCGTTATCCTAATACCAATGAGCAAAGTCTCTAGCCCGAGCAGCGCTTCCCGCTGACAGGTTCTATATTGGTGGAAGTAATAATCTCTCATTGTCACAGAGCTCCAAACCGGTTTTGGTGAAGCCTGGTGGGCGAGATACTAAAAAATCCATTAATGCAACGACCGTCAACATTTCACCCCGTCATATTCTTTAGATTTCCAAAGTTACGAAGCATAATATACAGCTCTGTACTGCTAAAATATATATATATATATATATATATATATATATATATATATATATATATATATATATATATATATATATATATATATATATATATATATATATATATATATATATATATATATATTTTGGTAGCAGTCTTTCCTGTAGACATATATTATTAAATATGACCGAAAAAGTAAGATTAATAATTCTAACACGAATTTTCTCAATCTTTCGTACATTACGCTTCACTGTTGGAGGTAAATCAAAAATCACTTCTCCAAAATTCATTTTTATTTCTAGTCTGACGCGACACGGGCGCGTTTCGTAAAACTTATTACATTTTCAAAGACTTCACAAATACACAACTGATTAGAACGTATCTCTGATTTTATATCTACATTTGAGTGAGGTGGGAGGGATGATGTGGCATTAACACAAGACCGAACACGAGGGGATATTAATAGGGTATTAAAAGTATCAACACAAGACAGAACAGGAACAATGGGTATTGAATAGAAGTGTTTGTAGAAAGCCTATTGGTCCATAATATTGGTCCATATTGGGAAATATAGACCAATAGGCTTTCTACAAACACTTCTATTCAATACCCATTGTTCCTGTTCTGTCTTGTGTTGATACTTTTAATACCCTATTAATATCCCCTCGTGTTCGGTCTTGTGTTAATGCCACATCATCCCTCCCACCTCACTCAAATGTAGATATAAAATCAGAGATACGTTCTAATCAGTTGTGTATTTGTGAAGTCTTTGAAAATGTAATAAGTTTTACGAAACGCGCCCGTGTCGCGTCAGACTAGAAATAAAAATGAATTTTGGAGAAGTGATTTTTGATTTACCTCCAACAGTGAAGCGTAATGTACGAAAGATTGAGAAAATTCGTGTTAGAATTATTAATCTTACTTTTTCGGTCATATTTAATAATATATATATATATATATATATATATATATATATATATATATATATATATATATATATATATATAAATTTGTAAATTGTAAAACAATTACCTGATGTTCGGAAAACACAAAGTCGTGATTTATGTGGCCTAATACGGGTGACCGGGGTTTTATAATTACTGTATAACGACGGCTTGTTACAAAACCCTAGCGGAAACGACAGTTATTAATGTTAGTGGTAAGGCAGTGTTCCATTGGCCTCTTTACTTGAGGAAACATGTAGGCATTAAATATAGCTGTTAATTCAATAACATAGAAATAGTTATTAAGGGATGTAAAGAAAATGTGTGTTGAGAGAGAGTGAAAAGAGAAAAAAGAATGAATGACTACACCTGTTTAATCTCGTCCAGTGTGTGTAAGCCCGGTACAACATTTGTATATAATAAAAAACGGAAGTTACATACACCTGAAACAGAAAAAGAAAGTGTGTGCCCACGACACTCATTCCCAGAAGGGTGACCGAGGCTCCGGTAAGGATGGCCACACCAGCAGGGTAGGTAGATAGAGGCCGGCGGAGGCCAGGAAGACAGCACCAGTCAGTGGCCGGTGTGTGTCGCAGTGAGCCGTGCCCGCACCAGCTCCGTGCCCTAGACCCACACAAGGTCTTCTCTGCTGCCAGGGGTTACTAGCGGTCAAGATCGTCCGCTCACCAAGGACTGCCCCGCTGCAAGAATTAGTGTGTTTGTCGACACGGGGAAACTCTGCCGCAACATGGCTCTCTCGGCCGTGGTGCTGTTCCCTGCTGCTCTTGTCTTGTGAGTACAGAGCGATTTTTGGGGGTCACCAGTTCATTTTTTTTTATTATATATCATTAGTGGTGCGATGTAACTTGAAACCCACGACACCTCCGTACTCTGGTAAAACTTGAATATAGAAAAGCGTTTCTGCTACTGAAATGAACGTTTTTACATTACTATGTACCGAATGCACAGTGAAAGCGTGCTATACAGTGAGTGATAAAGGGTATAATATCCTTTATTCTTATATTTCTACGATATAGCAGCATTATAGTTATGTAGAAAGCTTCATTATATAACATTGTAATGTTTTAATTAAGCTGAATATTGATATTACCTATCTTTGAAGCCTAATATGGAGAGATATGTGGGTCAGCCGATGTCATGTGGCTAGAGGCTGCCCAATGTTACCTGCGGCCTCCCTCGACACATAATTACACGGGCACAGGCATGCCTAACCTCGTATTTTCAAGGTTAATTGGTGTCTGCTTATGCTGTTGTCAGTATGGCGTGTTGTAATATTTTAGTGTCATTATGGCGTTCTAATCAGTATCGTATTTTGTAGTTTGTTGTTGTCAGTATGGCGAGGTAATAAGGTAATTATTAAGAGAAAGCGCTAAGCCATCACGACTATATAGCCCTTATGCTCATATCCTTCCCAAGGGAGAATGTGGGAGGGATATGAGGATTTGGATTTGGCATAGGACGGAGGGAAGGAATGGTGCCCAACCGCTTGGACGGTAGGGGGACGATCGCCATCCTGCCAGAAGCAAGATCAATCTATCGTCCGGTCCAGGTCGTTGTCAGTACCGGGTGTTCTGGTCTTCGGCTGTTGTCAGCATAACATATTCAAGTTTGATCCTGCCGTTGTCAACATTGCATATTTTAGTCTGCTGCTGTCAGTATGGCGTGTTCTAGTTTGCTGTTAGTATGACGTGTTGTAGTCTGCTGTTGTTAGTATGACGTGTTGTATTCTGCTGTTGTCAGTATGACGTGTTCTATTTTGTTGTTAGTATGACGTGTTGTAGTCTGCTGTTGTCAGTATGGTGTGTTCTAGTTTGTTCTAGTAATAGAAAGTACTTGCTTTCACAACGATAATTCGGATAAATTCATCTATAAATATAACTTTTTCTGTGCATTTCGTATAAGGTTCAATTATCAACTTTCATTGAAAGACCAAGTCAAAATCTCATTTGCGATGACATGCATGATAATATTGTAGTGATATACTTTCGGAAGTTATTTAGGCCAATATTATACATTATATCGAGGACAACTGAACGGAGAACGGTTTAAAGATGTCGGGTCCCGTTACTCAGAGCCTGTCTGTGTGAGGACCGGCTGTGTGGGGAGAGAGAGAGAGAGAGAGAGAGAGGGGGGGGGGAGAAGGTTTCTCTAACCTGTTTCTAGATTTTCCACAGCTTAAAACCGGTTGCTGTATGTTTCCCTTAGTGTTTTTTTCTGAGCTATTAGGTTTTAAAACTTTATATGCACGTGATTAAAAAATATAACTAATAGGGTTATTTTTCGTTGGTGCTCATTTCTAGGAATTTAGTAATCCTAGAACTGTATGTTTGGTTATCAAAAGTTATATATTTAGTACTCCAAGAGTTGTGAATTTAATTATCTTAGAGCTGCACCTTTAGTTATTCTAGAAATGCTGGCCTACATCAACTACATAAGAGTTCCTTATGTAGTTGATGGTTCCTTATGTAGTTCATAATATCCTACATAGGATATCATGAAGTGTTTCAAATACGCGGTTGACAAACAATAACAACCTCAACTCACTTAACTATAAAACGCAATATTTTTCGTATGACAATAGATTGTCAGGCAATGCTTATTATGACTCATGATGTGTGTGTGTGGAGTTCCTCTAGCTCCAGGATGTGCGTCACCTTAGTGCCGGCTAGGGCAACTTTCACTGTATACATCATTACAGTCTTGCTTTCTCAACCTAGCGCATGTCTTGCCAACGCTAGCACACCACAACACCTTAACATTTATCTTGCGAATGTAGAACATTCACGAATTTGAATGCAGAAATTAAGTAAAATGTCCCGGGCGGTATACATAAATGGTTGGGTGCGTCTCCTTTGACCTAATGTCTCTGGTAGCCTAGCAGTAAATAGGTACCCAGGAGTTAGGCAACTGCTGTGGGGGTTGCAACCTGGGGAGGGTCAGTAGTTCGACCTACTGTTGAGGAGAGGGGGGGAGGGGACCTCGATATAAGACTAAAGTATATATATATATATATATATTTTTAATATGGAAGGGTGTACCACCTTCGGCTGGAAGAAGGGGACTCTTAGCCTGGGAGGAAATCACACATAACGCATTATAGTGAATGTTTAGGTCCCCTCCAATACAGTTTCTGTGTGCTTTTCTCCTACCACCCCCCCTTCCTTTTGTCTTTTGTTGTACTTTATTAGATATTTAAAGGTTACAAGATATACATTGGAATAGGATTTAAAGATTATGGATCTCTTGTAGCTCTTCCGCTTCCGGACAGGAACCGAGGACGCAGCAGGCGGTACCTCTCTGGATCGCCACACTAAGGCGCTGAAACAGGAAACTGGCAGCCCTTAGGTCTCTGGTGATGTCAATGAGCCTGGAACCCAATTCTTTTAAACACGCAACAGGGTGACGATTAATGATCATTCAGTTCACGTGGTGTAGGAGATGGCGAGGCTTGAGCGGCGCCAGTGTTGTGGGATACAAGTCACCTCATACACAGGACGGCTCGCCAACGGATTTGAAAGCCTGTCAAACCTTACCCAGTATTTTTTTTATTCAGTTACTGCTCCGCTCCTGTGCCAGGTAAGTCCACTACGGGCTCACCATAGCCCGTGCTACTTGGAACTTTTTGTTTCTAGTAGCGAATCTTAAACAACAACAACCTTACCCAGCCAAGCATAACAGCTTAACCTAAGATAATACAACTAAAGCTAACCATATATACGAAATTGGCAATCAAATGAGAATCTTGTCAAACCTTCCTGTGTATGATTTGACGATACCCCGACCCGTTTAGGTTAGATATTGGACGATATGCAAACTCAAGGAAATATTACCGAATGAATAATTAATTATGAAAAGAAAGCGCCCTGTTAGTATGTAGTGTACAAAGCTATGCTTGTCAGTATTATCGGGGGAATGAATTTGCATTACTTTTTGTGTAAATATAGTTCACGGATAACTTAAATTATGATAATTATATAGGAGAAATCCTATATAGGAGGCTATACGAAGTCTCATACGATCGTCGGTGCGTGTGATTACTGTCGGGTCTTTCACTATGTCTTGGTGATTCACAGGAAGATGTACGAGTGTTGATATAATAAATGACAGGACAAATCCTTGCCTTTTCACTGCAAGGTTTGCAATTCCTGTCAATTATGTCTCGTATTACCTTCTCACCCTTCTTGTATGCCTGAAGGAGTGTATTTTTATAATACACTGCGGTGTTTTCTCTTGGGGGCCGATTTTTCACCCCTAGAGCCTGATAATCCTCAATCAGATGGCAGCCTAGCTTCTTATGATTTCGTCGAATTCTGTATTGCTGTGTGTGTTTATCGTTATCGTTAGTACTTCTTGTACCATAACCATTTTTGTGAAATTAAACAAAATTTCCCACCTTCTCGAAGGTAAAATGTGGGCCAAGTATACAACAGCATTTCCTTTCTGGATTGCGTCACCGAGGCGCTGAAGCAGGAAACTGGTTGCTCTTGGTTTCTCGATTGCCAAATACGTTCCTCGCCATACTGCTTCGGGAATGTATGTGAGCATTAACCCCTGGAGCCAAGGCTCTCAAACCCTATTGGCATGAACCAGCAACAATGTCCATGGCTGCTGTACTTCTTCGTCTTCTGGGTCTCTCCTTTAAAGCAGCTGAACCTTCACCACGTTCATATACTGTACTCTGTACATATATGATATGTGTCAGCCAATGTGGATACACGTATATTCACACCGGCTAAATACCTTCTTACCATCCTGCTAGGGTTGGAAGGTGACTTCATCTTGGACGCATCTGCCTGCGGTCAGATCTGCACACTTGGGGTTCCCTTTCTCTTGGGAAAATTCGTTTTAGCTAGATTTCTCGTAATGATGCCATTGCCTGCCTACTTCATGCTTAGCAATCTTTCCCGCTGCCTTACTATTAATGAGACCACGGAGGCCGTGTTGGTCTGTCGATGCACTTCTGTGTATACACTTGTGGTCGGTGAAGATACTGGCGGCAAGGCAACAATAAGGGCCCGCGGATCGAGGTGGATGCCCATAGAGGAATTAGAGAGACAAGCAACAGAAAATCACCAGCGGTCTCTAGAACTGTTGAAGCAACAATAACCCATTTAACCCAATAAGTCCTTCCTATAAAGTGGATGAATGAGGGAAAGCGTGCCTAAGGCGACAGTACTGGAGTACAAGGTGACAAAAAGAAAAACTACTTCATGATGATAAGGTTCATCCTATGGGGGAAGGGGGGGGGGGTGGAATTCAGTGCACTGAATGGTTCATAATAAACTATATATTTTGTTTCTGCGAAAATAAAAGTAATTCGTCTTGGTTAGCGTAATTCATAATTACCTACTGCTGACAATAGCGAAGTACACCGGAATTGTGCATGTATATGCCGCGGTGACACACACACACACACACAGAAAGATTCAAGTCAACCAAATACAGGGAAATAGATCACCGGTACAACTTCGGTCCAATATGATGTGAGACTCTAAGTCCATAGGGAGAGAGTGCAAGGAGGTTTCTTAAGGATCTTGTTTCCAGACTCATTGAAACTACAAGAGACACTAGAGCGGCAAGTTTTCTCTCCCAACGCCTCAGTGTGGCGATCCAAAGGGGTAATGCCCGCTGCATCTCGGTTCGTGCCCGGCATCGGAGGAGTTCGAAAGTTCTACAGCCTCTAGGAAAAAACTTCCCTTTGTTTCCTCTTAATGTCCACTTTTTGTAACCGATCAGATATATAACTGTTTAACCTTGTATAATAAAGTGTACAACATAAATAATAAAAAAGGGGGTGGTAAGAGCAGTGAACACTCATACGTATTTAGAGTTATATGGCAAATTTTTCTCTGAATACTTTGTATTCCCTTCTCCGAGGCTACTCATATTTAACCCAGCCAGGATTCGAACCCATGACGTCCTAGATCACCCTTAAACGTACACAATACCGTGACCACGGTATATTGGCTCTCTAACTGTAGAAATGTTGATATAGATTTAGATGTAGCAGAGATGGCAGTTATATTAACTTTGTTGTTGCTACTGTACTGTATCTACAGTGGAAAATGTACAAATATTTCCTGATAAGACAACGATCAAAACGTCCTTAATTTAATTACTGTACTTAGTTTAATTACCTTAGTGAACAGGATGTACTTAAAACCTTCAATAAGGTTAATAAAATAAATGTCCCTGACACAGTCCATTAAAAAGATTAGAAAGATTTTTTTCAGTGTCAGAGTAGTTAACAAATGGAATGCATTAAGTAGTGATGTGGTGGAGGCTGACTCCATACACAGTTTCAAATGTAGATATGATAGAGCCCAGTAGGCTCAGGAATCTGTACACCAGTTAATTGACGGTTGAGAGGCGGGATCAAAGAGCCAAAGCTCAACCCCCCGCAAGCGCAACTAGGTAAGTATGTACACACTAACCCATGAGGGTGTACAGGTACACACTAACCCAGTAGGGCGTAGACATTCGAATTTAAATGTTTATAACACTGCCTGACTAAAAATAGATTTAGCAGTATTCAAGACTCCAAAATAGGCAGCGCGGTTGTCAGTACCAGAACTTCCATGGCTGTTCTCTCGAAGTGCTGGTTCATGACCCGACGAACCAGCTTCCTGGCGATGGAACAGGTCATCAGGAACTGACTGAATCACTTCAGTGCTCCGAGCACCTCGTGAAACTTGAGGCCAAGACTCTCACAGCAACAGGACTTTTTGTACGGAAAGGGGTGTTTCGTGCCGGGATTGTACATGGGCATTATCACTATATCCAGGTTTAGTTGTTGGTGTGTTGGTTGAGAGAGAGAATGGGATGTAGGTTGGTATGTATAGCCGCGTGGGTCGAGTTTGACAGCAGATGGTGGGCAAAGAATAGATGGGGAACGAGGAAGTCAATCAGGGGTAGTTACTGCCCTCCTTCCCACAGATGGATAGGTGGAGGGTGTAGGTGAATTGATGGCATGGGTGTGTGTAGGTGACGCTATATGTTGGCATGGATCTATATTGGTAAAGGTGGTATGTTGTTGAGGGTGTATGGTATATGGGATATGTGATGAAGAGTTAAAAGTGTATGCCAGTGTGCCATAAATATAGGATGGGTACAGATAGTGTAGGCGAGATCCAGCAACAGTAGGTGCAGGGGATTGGATTAGATTGATGTCCATCTAGCCAACTGATGTCCAAAGGATGGGGGGCGGGGGGGAGGGATGAGGGAATTGAAATTCTGGAAGAGGATGGGGTTTGGGAGTGAGGAGGAGGGGGGGGGGATGGATGGAGAGTTCGGTGGCCTGTCCACCATGGGTTGGCATGAGGTGTGTGGGTCGTTTGTTTGGTTTGTGTGGGATTGTTTGGGTGTGTAGGGTTGTCAGTGCGTTGGCTGGATTCTGGACAAGTGGCTGAGCCTGATATTCATTGGCATCATGATGAGGGCTCTGTGGATCTGCTCTGTTCTTACCCTGTCCGCCAGCGACAGGCTCCCCGAAAAGCGGAGTGCTCTGTTTTGGACCCCGTTGGATCTTTAGATACTCGAGGCTAGGCTTTATGATCATCCTGTATAGGTGGAGCTTGGCGTGGGATATGGGGCCAGTCTGAAGCGGAATAGCCTCGCCAGGGACCCCTTGGCCATCGTTGTCTTCTCAGAGACGTACCGAGTGGAGTTGAGTAGTCTGTTGAAGTTGTACCCGAGGACTGTGTTGGAATTTGAGATGGCTATGGGTTCATCCCTGATCTACACCGACCTTCATTTTCGATTGTGTATGTCATGCAACCGATCATGCGTATCTAAATCTTGTCTGGAATAGTGGTGACGCGGGGGTTTGGCCAGATATGGTGGGGGTCGACGCCCTGGATCACCCCCCCCCCACCCCACCAACACCCTAATCTATCTCCTCCTTCACTCACCCTCCCCCTCTTCCCAGCCACGTCACAACCATTGTGTAATAGACATTCACATGTACTATATTTACATATAACTTGTTGTTAATACATACGTACACACCAAATGTCATCCCTGATCATAACAGGGCGAAAACAGGACCTATTAACAATAAATAAACAATAGATTACTGTATGTGAAGCCTCGAATAGTGTCACTTAGACTAGTTGCCCGAACGTTTCGGGCGTTTCCTTCCCGAAACGCTTTGCGTAATAGTGGCTTTAGGCATTGTATGTACTAGCTCTATCTATAAAGCCAACAAACTTTGTAAAATCTCTTTATGTATGTACCTTACCTAAATAAAAATTATTATTATTATTATTATTATTATAGTTGAGAGATACAAAACGTCTCCTTGTTTACGAACTTTCGTACACAGCAGCGTGCTGCCACAGTATGGTACGTAACGGACTACAGAGTATATATATGATAGATGTAATATCAAGCCAAGAGATAGATATAAATCCACCTGGGTGGATTAACATGTGTCATCTCTCACACTGACGTCATGTCTATCACCCTAGTAACATTACTTTAGAAACATATGTCTCACCCTAGTAACGTATCATCATAGTAACACGTGTCACCCTAGTGCCATCAAGTAAGATGTACCACCCTAGTGCCATCTAGTAACAGGTGTCACGCTAGTAACATTACTGTAGTAAGATGTTTCGCCTGCAGGGTGTGGAGCGGCCTGGTGGAAGCGCTGCCGCAGGTGCCAGCTGACCTTGGACTCCACCCTGAGGGTCCCAAAGGTCCCCCACAACACAGCTCCAGACGTGAGTCATTCCTCCAGGATCAGTGTGCTGGTGCACATCCTTCCTTCATGTTATACTTGGGTGGGAGTGCTTGGTATACTACTTCCTTCATGTTATACTTGGGTGGGAGTGCTTGCTATACCACTTCCTTCACGTTAAACTTCATGTTAAATGAAGTTTATGGATACGAAGTGACGAGCCAGAGAGAGAGTGAGTGTGAGTGAGTGTGAGAGAGTGAGTGTGAGAGAGTGAGGGGGGGCCACGAGGAGTGGAGGGATACAAAGCTTCATACAACTAAGGAACGCTAATTGTAAACTCGATAGACTTGACGTTCATGAAGAGTCCACTAGCTTCTCTTGACCACGAATGCAAAGATTTCTTTATGAAGTTCTGCATGGAAGACGCTGATTGATTAGCTCTTGGCTGGCACAGACCACTTGTACGATACATGTTCTTATCATGTGTGTGTGTGTGTGGGTATGCTCGTATAACAACAATGAGTGTATTAACTCTACTCATTTCATGAATGTGATGGACGGCGTCCCCTTCTCTTCCCACCAGCAGTGCTGTTAAATCCTTTCAACATCTTAGGCAACCCCTTGTGTGAATACAAAGGTCTGTCAGGCACTTGTTACGGAGAGGTGGAGTGCCTGGCCCTCGCTGGCAGATTCGGGAACTTCTGCTCTGGTCTGCGGGGACTCTGCTGTCTCTGTGAGTAACCCTTCATGTTGTTATTACCTTCTTAAGCCTTCATTCATATTTTGTTAAGTCTGCATATTTTTAACTGTGCTTACAGACACAATTGAACTTGATTTGACGTAAGGCACTCGGTTAACAGTTTATTCTTTGATATAACTATGTATATATTAGTTGATAAATGGTACTTCCTGAGGATGGTTGATACAGGCTGCTTGTAGTGGATGGTTTTGTTGGTGGCTACGACCATAATAAAGTTGCTGCTGGTTCTAACAAATATATATTATGTTTTCTCAGTCGATCGGACATGTGGGCAGAGGACGTCACAGAAGGTCGCTTACTTCAAAAACATCCAATTCCCACTGACAGACCAGGCCGGAAACTCTTGCTCCTTCCAGATCATCAAACACTCTGACGAATACTGCGGCCTCAGGTAGGTTCCTCACCCTCACCATTCTGAATATTGACCAAGACACCCATGAGGTACAGTGGTAAACTGTAGCCCAGTCCTCGTAAACAATGGCCTCGTTAAACCAGTCGCTAAACCGCCTTGAATGAAATGACATGAAAAACCAGTCCTCAGGCTATAGTCCACTAGGCTGCAACACTCGTCAATTTGAACGTTCTGCGTACTCAAAATCGTACTTTTATCATATATTAAGTATTCATGTTATATGTTATAATTTCGTGTACAGTTACGCAAAATTAAGTTAGGTTAGGTGTTTAGTTTCTGTTGGCAGTTATTTGTATTTGTAGTACGTGGGGTTACCTGTAAGTAAGGTTGTAGTACTAGGTTACTCTGGGTTAAGATTAGTTTGTTTAACTCATGTTATGGTTACTTTAGGTTAGGTTTCATTACATTTGATTACGTTAATACAGTATGTATTGTTGGTGATAATGTGAAATGTGGAATTCGAAAGCTTTTTAAGTTTACCCGAGAATTCTATTTGCAGAAACTCTTGATTTCTTCAAAGAAAATGTTTTCGGCACACACTTTTTATATTTTAAACCAACAACTTATAATGCATTAAAGTTAGAACTTGGGAATAATCTTTGTTTAGGACAAAGGTTCACTTGCCAGCTTACAAGTAAATTATTACTGGAACCGTAAATGCTTTCAGATCATCACAAATATCTAGATAACTATCCAGGTGGTTTGAAGTGGGGGGGAGGGTGTCAAATGGTAATTTATTTGGTCTGAGGACTGGCTCTACAGTAAGAAATTGTACCTACTAATTACTATACGAATGGACTTATTCAGCACAGTTACAGCTACTGTATTTTCATTGTTTTATATTGTATTTGCAGCGTAGAGATGGAGGAAGCCAACTTGCCGACTAGGAAGTTCGGACAGTGCACTGACGTCATATATCACGTGACCGGTATAGAAAACAACAGACTGGAGCCCAAGTGTGGCCTCCTCACCGGGAAGAAATGTAAGTATGGGCATACACACCGGGCATACACACATACACCGGGGACAGGATGTGGATGAAGACATATCTGCCGTGCATACACGCACATGGTCACAAGTATAAGCTACAAGATATACACACTTGCACATTGATTCATACACCTATACACACTCCTGTACATGTAAACATGTTGCTGGATATCATACATATGTTATTAATATATTAATACTATATGTAATATTAAATTACCGAGGCAGTAATACAAACCAAACCTTTCCTTCCGGACAGTCGTGTATGAATTCAGAGTGGCGGAGTTGATGATCCACGTCAACTCCACCGCCCCGGTCAACGCCATGTGGAACATGAAGGTGACACAGGTGCCGTGCAGCGAGTACACGGGTACCGAAGGCGGTGGTGGCACCAGTGGAGGCATTGTCGATATTGGCGATGTTGTCAGTGGTGGTTCCGGTGGTGGTTCCGGTGGTGGCTCCGGTGGTGGCTTCGGTGGTGGCTCCGGTGGTGGCTCCGGCAGTGGAGGTTCTGGGATTACCGCCACTACAGGTAGGTGCGGCCCAGGAGCCTGGATCAGTTATTGATAGTGCTTAAAAACAATTGGATATACAGTGTGGTGGTGGTGATGGGGGATGATATGGAGTTATTTAATAAGTGACCAGAACACTTTGAGGTTCTCACCAGTAATCCAACCCTCTCATTCTAAACCCTCAACCAACAAGAACATAAGACCACAGCAACACTTCAGCAGGCCTACCGGCCCAGGCGAGGTAAGGTCCTGTATACACACTGACCACGGTTTAAACCGTGTGGCTGTTCACCCTCCTTTACTGACAGCTTCACCGCTTCCTCGCCCCGTAACACATGATCACGTAACGCCAGCAGCGCTGTGAGAGGCTTGTATAGGGGCCCTTTGCGTAGCACACAGCGTATATACGCTTTTATTTTTCTTACATATTGTCTGCAGTAAATGTGCTTCAGTAGCCACATGTTTGCCTGTACTTTGTTCTAACTCTTATTTGGTTTGATCTGAATCTACTGGTGCTCGTTCTGTCTTGATTTAATGGTTCCACCACCCTGTTTGTGTAATTGATGTTTGTCATCAATTTGTTCACTTGATGATGGTATTCCTCGTTCATCTCAAGAGAGCATGTTACCGCTCCTCTCTTTTAAGAGATCATGTCACCTCTTAAAAGAGAGAAGCTCACTGCTCTTATTACATCTTCTTAAGGAAGGTACCTGATGCTGAGATTAACTTGTTGTCCACCTTTCTATGCTTTTTAGAGAATATATTGCCACTCTGTTGTATGGTACTAAACTTTGTGACCACTGTGTAGTATGGTACTAAACTTTGTGACCACTGTGTAGTATGGTACTAAACTTTGTGACCACTGTGTAGTATGGTACTAAACTTTGTGACCACTGTATAGTATGGTACTAAACTTTGTGACCACTGTGTAGTATGGTACTAAACTTTGTGACCACTGTATAGTATTGTACTAAACTTTGTGACCACTGTGTAGTATGGTACTAAACTTTGTGACCACTGTATAGTGTTGTACTAAACTTTGTGACCACTGTATAGTATGGTACTAAACTTTGTGACCACTGTATAGTATGGTACTAAACTTTGTGACCACTGTGAGTAGTCACAAATATAATATCAATATTATATTTGTGACTACTATAAATATAATCAATATTATATTTATTTATAATATATATTATTATTCACACACACACACACACACACACACGCACACACTGCGGTCGTGAATTTAACTTCATTACGCCCAGATCTATTTTACAGTCGTATTTACTAATGCATTAATGTATCAACATTACTGATCTTATATAAAGCAACACTTTATTTTTCACACACCCAAGTCTGTTAAGGTCCTCCTACATTTGTATGCATTTAAAATTACTCAATTTTAGTGCTATCTGTAAATTTAACAGTTTAGGTATAGACAACGTGAATGTTTGTGAGCCGCTATGATACGTCCTCCTACATTTGTATGCATTTAAAATTACTCAATTTTAGTGCTATCTGTAAATTTAACAGTTTAGGAATAGACAACGTGAATGTTTGTGAGCCGCTATGATACGTCATATTTTTTCCATTGGGAAATTTGGCGTCGAAATGCGATGAATTAAATCAAGAAGACAAGTTTCATTATACACAGGCACAGACTGCATGAATGGCAAAGGTCCCAGATATATATATATATATATATATATATATATATATATATATATATATATATATATATATATATATTCCTGATAATTTTTTCATTTATTAGAGTTTAAGTTTTTATACATTTTAATACACTTTTTTAAAGCATCATTTAAACTTTAACTTTACAAGTGCAGCTATCTCATTTCCTGTCGAGGCTGTTCATTATACTACTTCATTATACTATACTTCCACATTATACTTCATATAGGCTTATACTACTCCACAGTCAGCCCTTGGAGAACCTCATTCATCAATTTCTCAGTGATTGCAGTAATGTCCAAATATTCCAGCCCATCCTGTTAAAATTATAATAATTATACCAACTGTTTGCTCACACGTACATAAATGGACTGTTGGAACCACACAAGTTAATTTTTTGTGTTATTGAATTAACCCAAATTGTATTGTAAACAAAACTCGGAAATGTAACTATTGAACCTAACCTCACCTGTCCAAGAATCCTAGGCATATTATAGTACATATATGTATTATACTAGGCTTAAGAATGTTTTAAGTTTGGTATGTAGAATATTTTTTTCCGAGCCCTCTACAAAAGGTGAAATATGTAAGAATTTTCGGTCTTTTTTTGTGTTGTGTCATATGTTCTGTCATGTTAGGAGGATGTGGCCATATGTCTTCCACATTAGTCGTGAGGCTGCAGCTCACAACATAATATATTTATTTGTGATCTCTGTTTCTCCTGTTTATGTTGATAAGTTATCGCTGTCCTTACTTCCCTCTGGTGCAGTGGTCAGCGCTGGAAGGTTCCGGGTTCGATTCCCGGGCACAACGAGACGTTTGAGCACGTTTCCTTACACTTAATACCTCTGTTGTTCACCTAGCAGTAAATAAGTAGTCGGGAGAGAAAGAGAGAGCGAGAGAGAGAGATAGAGAGAGAGAGCAGAGCATGAGTGAGCGAGGGACTGAGAAAGTAATGTGGAGTGAGAGGAGGAAGAGGCGACGTCCCTGGTACTCACTGTTGTAGCGTCCAAGAGTCGTGCAGTGAAACACACGCTATATAAGGCTCCACTGTAGTTTACCCATGGGTTTACTAGTCTTAAACTTAGGTTCTGTAGACTCACTTTAGTTTCCCTTTACTGTAAACGACCGTTTCCTATACAACCTTGACTTTTCCATCCCGGACCTCCAATACAGTCCGTTGACATAATTACAGTGCTGTATACTCATTATTGCCTGGTACTTGACTTTCACTTTCTGATTCCTAATGTTGGAAATCGCCAACATCGTTTCCTCCAGTGTTGAGGCAAACAGTGGAACTGTTCTGTTTCCAGCCGTGATGAACTCTAGACATGTATATATGTATATATATATATATATATATATATATATATATATATATATATATATATATATATATATATATATATATATATATATATATATATATATATATATATATATATATATATATATATATATATATATATATATTATATATATTATATATATTATATATATTATATATATATATATATATATATATATATATATGTCGTACCTAATAGCCAGAACGCACTTCTCAGCCTACTATTCAAGGCCCGATTTGCCTAATAAGCCAAGTTTTCATGAATTAATGTTTTTTCGTCTACCTAACCTACCTAACCTAACCTAACCTAGCTTTTTTTGGCTACCTAACCTAACCTTACCTATAAATATAGGTTAGGTTAGGTTAGGTAGGGTTGGTTAGGTTCGGTCATATATCTACGTTAATTTTAACTCCAATAAAAAAGAAATTGACCTCATACATAAAGAAAAGGGTTGCTTTATCATTTCATAAGAAAAAAATTATAGTAAATATATTAATTCAGGAAAACTTGGCTTATTAGGCAAATCGGGCCTTGAATAGTAGGCTGAGAAGTGAGTTCTGGCTACTAGGTACGACATATATATATATATATATATATATATATATATATATATATATATATATATATATATATATATATATATATATATATATATATATATTTTTGTGGGAGGCTCGAACCATATAACTGACCTGGGAGGACCCATTAATTAAGCTACATTTACTTTATTTTTGACTGCCTTCGTTGACCTTCTGTTGTCCTCTGTAACCGATTACCACAGATACAAATACAGTACAGTGAACTCTGTATACTCAGAGCACCCACGATACTAAACCCAGGTGGTTGGACTACAACAACGTGATTGATCACTGGAACATGGTGACCAATCACCTCCCATGTTAATTACCTGCACACCCAAATTTTGCGAAATAATATGTAATTACATAATATTATAACTGAATATTTAAATTTTAAAAATACAGAAAACTCACATTTTAAAATATAGAAAACTAATTCAAGAGTTGTTTTAATTGTATTGAAGTCGACAATAGAGTACTCACAATATCTTATGCAGGAATCACATTAAAACTCTAATAATATAATATATATATATATATATATTATATAATAATATAATTTTTATTTATAAAATATACATAAGAACACGATACAGTTGTTAATAGTAGGCACACACATTGTATATTATATAATGCCACTTATACGCAAAGCGTTTCCGGCAGACTGAGAAGCAAGTGAAATATCTCAAAATAAAATTGTCAATTTTTATAACATTTTGCTGCTGGTACGGGAGGCGTACAGTGTAATACATGTTCCGTACAGGATCCAATACGGGAAGGGTTCGTGTTGGCAAGCGCTCGCTCTGTATGGGACGTGTACATGACAAGTGCCCAGTACGGGTCCTAAACAGCGCGCGGCAACCCTCAGGTAAGCGCTGGCATCTACGATATTTTCAGATGATGGGAGTGCAGTTGAGTACGTGTTCTTGGTGCCAGATATGGTAGTCGGAGTCTGCACGGTACAGGTCAGCACGCAGCTCCATATGTCGCTTTGTTTAAGTCAGTGTAAATTTGCAGTGGTCGTAGGTGGTCTGAGTATTGGCAGTCTTTCCCTTTAGTGCAATATTGCTTGTATTGCACTAAACAAACCTGTACAATAACTGTTTGAAGTATTTTTCGTAAGACACTTAACTGACACGAGAGCTGTATCATAGCTGAAGCCATACACATGACCAGACTAACGTCGTCTTGACTATCTATATTATATGACGCCTCGCTCCCTCTGAAGGCATGTTGACTGTCCATCATGTAGTCTCCCCTATGTATTTCAGACTCACTCAAGCTGATGAGGAATATTGAGGCCCTTGGCTTTGGAGTCGCAATGCTAAATTGGATTAAGGCATGGTTATCAGGTAGGAAATAGACAGCATAAATGGAGTTCAAACTAGATGGAGAACAATCATAAGAACACAAGCAAAACAAACGCTGCAATATCCCTACTGACCAAGTTGAGATAATGTTCATCTCCACTATAACTCCCTTATTACATCAATACTTACTTTAAAATTTAAGATAAACTATCGTAATCTGCTATAACCTGTCCTCACATCAGTATCTGCTTCAAGGTCTTCTCTTTTCATCTCCTTCGCTATGTTGGAGATGCTATCGGCATATGTATAATAGACCTTACGACTCTTCTTAGTTCCTCTGTCTTGAATTTCCTGTTGAGTTCACTGGTAGGTTAGGGAAGGATGAGGGGAAGTTGAGGTGAAGTGGATGTATAGGAAGAGGAAGATAAAGCATAAGTGGAGGTAGCAGGGGTAAAACATTACATCCTGAGTGTTAGAGGAAGCCTGTCAGGCTGTCCAAGCATCTCTAGCCAACTAGACCATCTCAAGATGCACCCCACAACAGTCGACAACTTCCCAAGTACCTATTTACTGCTAGGTGAAGAGAGACACTGGATGTAAGGAAACGTGCCCAAAAGTCTCACCCTGCCGGGGATCGAACCAAAATTTATTAATTGTAAACCGGCTGCGTTAACCAGTAAAGCTTTAGTGCCCCACAGGAGAGCCATCTAAGGACAGTAGTCACCAACTACTGAAGGGGGACCTCAGAAATTGGTTCACAGTATAATTAGCACACACGAGACAATGGCATATTATTACTTGATTGAAAATTGAGCGTAGAACAGTTGTTAGCTCTGTCCTGACCTTCATTATTAACGCAGTCTTATCATGCCTGTGTTCTGGGATCTTTAACCTTTGTTAATAAGTCTGATCGACCGATAACCCAAGCCTTAGTCCTTGGAACTTTCTTATTAACAAAGCCTCTGCATGTCTCTTAACATTTTGATATTAACTATTTAAGTGAATAGCAGTTAAAAGCTTAAACTTTAAGATTTAAATTTAGTAACGTACAGCTTACAATTTGAGTGTACGTCACATGTGTTTGCAAAAGAAAAATAAATTTTGATGATGAGACAGACTAAATATAGTGTGAATATATAGTGTAAGAATAACGAGAAAAATAGCATCGCAATATAATTTTGATACGAATATGAATAGAAAATATTATTTTAGATCAACAGATAAAGGGGGCTAGACTAGATCTCTGCCTAGCAGTTTTGGTTCTATATCTGGATAAAGAGAGTACTGAGTTTTAAAATAACTACAGTATATAACATTTCTATAAATTTGTCTGACGTTATCACTCAATTTTACCTTGACCCGGAAAGGCTCCATCTAGGACTATATTATGCACTTCTGGTCGCAGCAATAATGTAACTTGTCTTCTCAAATAATACACCGCACTTTTACTATAATCCACAACGAACAAAATAGTCTTGAAATATGAAAAGTGTCTTCACAAACATTCACGTTTTCTATACGTGGGTTGGTTAGGTGTGGCGAGTGGCTGGGTTCCCATGTTTTAGTACCTTGGTTTTCGTCCGTTGTGGCAACAAAAGAGGATGGGTTGAATCACACAGAAAAGAATAACTAAATTAATCTCGATTAGGTACTTACCTTATGAAGAGCAACTAAAAAAGCTAAATTTACATTCTAAGGCCATATGAGTAAGGGCCAACATGATTTAAGTGTACGACTATCTAAAAGGAAGATGAATTTACTTGGGATTCTGAAAATATAAACTCTAGATTGAAAAGGCACGGGGCCTTTAGTAGTTACTTTATTCTTTGTTATATTATATAAATTAAAATAAATATATTAAAGAAAGCTAAAGAAACAACTTGAATAATGGGCGGTACGTCACTCTTGCTAAAGTGGTGTTTGAATCTTGGTAAATAGGCTGAGAGAGTAGTGCATGGCTGCAACTTGCAGCACAGAGCTGGTGCTTGGCTGCAACGCTCTAATAAAATATCCCCTTTGATGCCAAAAGTGTCCATAGCTTCCAAAACATGCTGTATAAAACAATTTAGCTTCTATTTTAAGGGCAAGACTGAATTGCTTGCCGCTTAACGGCACGCGCCTCGCAAACTCCTATGTCCTACAATCCTGTAAATATGTAGGCATGCTGGTGGTCGTAATTGTGGTAGATATTATTAGCATGTTAACAGTGATATGGTGTGTTGGGGTTGGTATTTGTGCGATGGTGTTCCGGGTCTCGTGGAATCGCGACGAACCGACAAAGCTCGTTCCCTGATTGTCAAAATCGCATATATCTTAAGGGTATGTTATGTTGGGTGAGATTAGGTTAGTTATAATGTGGCGTATCTGTGTTAATATGGATATACGGTGTTAAGTTTTTGTTTAATGGGTGCGCGGGAGACGTGATGTTGGGTTGATTCATGTCATATTGTTAAATAGTGTTGATGATGATATTAGGCTTTTTGCATTGACGTGTTGTGATAATATGGATGTTGACATGGTTGCTGGTGGTGATTTGAGTATGGATAGACTTATTCAGGTGTCTCTTGTTGATATCAGTGGCAATTGGTGTTGTTAGTATTGATATCGGTGTGTTGGTGATATTGATCTATGGTGCTGATATCAGTGGCTCTGAATGATGCGCGCATTCCTCTGAATGTACAGTCAGGTTAAGCACAGTTGGGTCTGGCCAATAATTGTATGATGACCTCATGAGCACAGACCTCCCCAAGGTCAGAAAGAACACTACAATAGGGCTTCTGGCCCAAAGGAGGTAGGTCCTATTAAAATCTTACATATACTTTTATATACATGTTATATACATAACGAATATATGCCTTGCATATGCCTTACATGTCTTACATATGCCTTACATATACCTTACATATGCCTTACATATACCTTGCATGTCTTGCATATGCCTTACATATTCCTATTAGTTAAACATTTTGTTTTACTATTCCTAGGAACTAGTTTACTTTTTTAACTGCAGCTCCCACTTGTGCAAATTTCAGTGATTGGTGGATTCTGATTCCAAGGTCCTTTTCTTCATCAATCTGCTGGAAGCTAATGTTGTTGATTTGGTAGTTGTGTCGTGCATTGTTATGCCCCACATGCAAAGGCTTCCATTTTTCGATATTAATTTAAAAAACATTTGCCAATCTTCCGACCATTTGTGGCGTTGATCTCTTGGTAAGGACTCAATATCATTTTGACTTTCTACTTTACCAAAGATCTTACTGTCATCTGCAAATTTGATGATGTGGTTTGTAATATTCTCATCTGTGTCATTGATGTGTATGACAAAAAAGGATTGGCCCAAAAATGGAGTTTTGTGGTACTCCACTCACCATATTTCTCCAGTCAGATTAATTCCCGTTTAGGACGACCCTTTGCTTTGTTTTAACCATTGTTTTATCCAGTCTAATATTCTACCATTTATTCCGTGTGCTTGTAATTTTAATTCTAGTCTTTCATGAAGTACCTTATCAAGAGCTCATGTATTACTGGGAGTCCCTTGTCTGAACAGCTGGTTACCGTTTCCGAAAAATGTGAGCAGGTTTGTAAGGCAGGATTTATTTTTAACAAAGCCATGTTGCGTTGATTTTATTAGATTGTTCAATGTCAATAATTCCCTCCCTTAGTATTCTCTCCATGAGCCTGCAGGTATGTGAGGTCAAGCTGATCGTATATACATATACCTTTGACCTGTCCATGTGGAAGCCACTAGATATGATGGCCCTTCAGGTAAATATACTATTTCCCATCACCAGGAAGATATTTAAGATATCGTTGTATAGCCTATGTAAGATATGTGTAAGAGGGTCCTGTAGCACAATAGTCAGCGTAGGCGGAACACAACCGAGAGGCCCCAGGTTCAGTTTCCAGGGCCACGTTTGGGCACATTGTCTTTCATTTGATGCCTCTGTTCACATATCAGTAAATAGATACCTTGGGGTTAGTCAACTGTTGTGGGTTGCAGCCTGGGGATGTTCAGCATAGTTTGCTTTGGAAGTCCTCGATATGCCCAACATTTTCTATTCACGGAAATGGAAAACTATTTAAATTCTGTTGATGTTATTAATATGTAGTGTTAATATTCTTGTGTTGTAAATATTTGCTTTTAACAATATCGTGTTCTTTTTATGTTGCATTGTTGATATATTATGCTTGGCTGACATTGGTGTGTTGTTGATATTGACACACAGAAAGTGTATAACGTATAACTGGTATGTGCTTGTGTCCCCGACAAAATGTATTATTAATAACAGTGTTGCTCTTGGTTTATTACAGCCCTCCCACCCCTTCCTGGCCTGCCGCCCCTCCCCGGCCTGCCACCCCTCACCGGCCTGGCACCCGCCACCCATCCCGTCTGTGGCTTGAAGGGACCCTCCTTCAACCAGGGATCTCGAGGCGTATGTATTAAACAAGCTATCTCTGCAACTTTGCCCTGGGTTCAACCTTGACGATGAGCGGACGTCTGGACACCACCTCAGCTGGGAAGCCGCCGGAATACGTTCTGCTTTCGCGATTTTGGATTTGATACTGCTATTTGGCATCACTATTCATTGGCTCAGATTGTACGACTCTTGGCGCACATATCGCCTTGGGTCACAGGATAGTTGATAGATTTTGAACGTTTTCTGGCTGGTTTTCCCGGCGGCGTGACGGTGTCCAGCGCCAGCTTGGCCGAGAGGTGCCGGGAGTTGGTGGGTCTTGGTGGGCTCCTGGTGTGCCCTCAGCCGTGGTGGGCTCCTGGTGTGCCTTCAGCTGTGGTGGGCGGCTGGCTTCAGCTCTGCCGAAAGGCACTGGCTGACATTTGCGTTTTAGTTAGGGGCAGAGTTCTTGGTTTTGCTACCCAGTGTTCTGTGTGTGGGGCAGGGCCGGTGCTAGTAACCCTGAGGGACTCCTGGGGCTCCCCAATCATCTGTCCGTCTGTGAGTTTATTTGCCGCGAGGCATATTAGTTTCCGGTGATAAGCGTCATCAGTTTCGTGATTAGGCTTCGTGATTAACCCTTCACGGGTAGGCCGGGGCACATGCGTTCCCACGATCATCGTCGTCCCTAAATTAACAACAAAAACAACTCTGCCCTGTCTTGATTAGCTAAGATTTAATACTATAGCGCGTCCATCTCTGTATCGCTCTTAACAAATAGAGTACCAATATAATTTATATTATATTTGGGCTGAAGGAATTTGTATCTGAATTGAGTGTTTAGTTAAAACTAATTATGAAGTTAGCGAGTCTGTAAAATATATATCCTCAACATTGTGACTCACGCATTTATATAAACATATTTGATGAACTTAATTAAATTGTCTTGTTGAGTTGACAAATGCCTGTATCGATTTTTCAATTAATTGAGTTAATTTTTGTAATCTTTTATTTTTTTTGTTTTTATATACAGTATATTTATAACAACAGACAAAAGCTACAATTTAATTAATAGCGGTAAACTAATAAAAAGAGTAAAACCTCATAATGCCACTAACACTCACAATAAAAAGTTAAATTTTTTTTAACTTTTTAACTCAAATTTATATATAAAAAAAAGTCATTTTACTCTCCTGATAACCAGGATACATTTTTGCAACGATAAACTACATTCTCTCAATGGAAATGTGCATCTTTCAGACGTCATCGTCTGGCATACGTCTTGGGTCCAACAGCTTGAGTAGCAAGAGTGTGGGTCGCAGGCCGAGACCAGGTGGAGAGGTGTCTCCAGACACCACCCTTGATGAGCAGCACCTGGGGGAAGGTGTGGAGAGGCAGGAGAATGTTTCTAATTCTGTTGGAACCAGAGGAGTTATTGACACTAGGGCATGGGGTGGCCCAGACCTCTCCGATACACTTTTTGCACATTGTGAGTTTATTCTAAAACTTGGTTGGTGTTTATAATTTTTTTTCTTTATATTCCGATTCATTTGTTCGATATTATAAGCGATGTCATATTTAATACGTACAAATATCTCTTACACCATGTTCAATATAAGTGTAGATTAACTACAATAATCAATGACTTCTATGTACTGTATATGAATTTTGTCCAACAGAGTAAACAGTTTTCTTGAATCATTTACCATTTTTTTCCTCCGTGATAATAAATTTGTGGTAATTTGCTTTATCTTGGTTGTCTTGACGTGAACAGATGCAGGAGAACGAAGCATCTTCTCCAACCGCATCACCTTCGGCCAGGTGGCCGGGATCCACGAGTTCCCCTGGATGGTGGCGATGACGGCCAATGGCAGGTTCCACTGTGGTGGCTCCATCATTGGTGATTACTGGGTCCTCACTGCTGCCCACTGCGTCACCTCGTAAGTACTGCTGCCCACTGAGTCACCCCTTGGACAGCCACTAGCGCCCATAGAGTTTCGGGCAAGTCCTTAATCCTAATTTTCACACACACATATCCCCAGGAAGCATCCCGTAGCAGCTGTCTAACTCCCAGGTACCTATTTAATGCTAGGTAACAGGGGGATCAGGGTGAAAGAAGCTCTGCCCATTTGTTTCCGCCAGGGATCGAACCCGGACCCTTAGGACTGCGAACCCCGAGCGCTGTCAACTCAGCCGTCAGGCTGAATTGACAGTGAGGCAACAGGGCCTCGCCTGTTGCCTCGCATAAACCAGTATAGACCTGTGGTTTTCCCTATTCTTATGTTCTGTATGTTTGTAAACAATACTTGAGCCTTCTCACGACCACAGTATAACAGTATAATCCAGTTTCTTTTCTCCTTAGGTACAAAACTGACCCTGGGGCACTCAGCTTGTCACTTGGTGACTGGGATCTGTCCACTCAGAATGACGGGCCAAGTATATCAGCGAAGATATCCAAGATCACTGTCCATCCGGACTACTCCCGCACCACCCTGCAGAATGACCTCGCTGTGGTCAAGCTCTCCTCGCGGCTCACATTCTCTCAGGATGTTCGTTCTATATGTTTACCTGCGACAAGTGAGTCTCCATAGTTTTACCCATTTGCACTTTTCTACAGCATTTTCAGAAGATGCACGTGATGTGTTTGGATTGTTTAAATGAGGTGCAAAATAACAATTCATATCACAGTGATGTACATCTTCGTCTCTCAGAAGAGGGACCTGGGTTAAATCCGTGAGCATAACGGAAACAGTTGGCCACATTTCCTTTCACCTGATGCCTCTGTTCACCTAGCCGTTAATAATTAAATACTCGGAAGTTAGGCAACTGTTGTGGGTTGCATCCTGGGTAAGTCAGTAGTTGACCTAAGAGTAGCTTGATAAGCCTGAGTACATTTTTTGTACTTTTTACCAAAAGGACCATACTTATTTTTGTTAAAGTCCTCTTGTGGTTTCACATAGCCTTCCATTATATTTATCAACCTTGTCATTTTTGCATTGTTACTAAACATTTAGAAGAGAGAATCTATCCCCTCTGAAATGTCATTCACATAGTAGGTGGGTGAGAGGGATGAGTTAGCTAGTGGATGGGTAAAAGGGATGAGTCTAGTTGATGGGTGAAGGATGAATTAGCTAGTGGGCAGATGAGAGAGTAATGAGCAAGTGGGTTGGCGAGAGAGGGAAATGAGTGAGATGTAAGAGCATATGGGTGGGTGAGAGGTACGAATGAGTAAGTGGGAGGGTTCAGAGGAATAAATGGATAAGCAAGTTGGTGAGTGGGTGGGTGAGATAGATGAATGAGCGAGTGGGTGAGGGGATGAATTAGCAAGTGGGTTTGTGAGGGATGAATGAGTGGTGAGAGGGGTGATTGAGTGAGAGTGGGTGGGGCAAGAAAACTGACAGCCTAGAAGAGTATATGAAGTACTATGCTGTTGATGTAGCAGTGTTAAATGTGCTGATGCAGTAGCCTTTATTGGATAATACTCATCACTGTTATAATATTTGTATTTATTGTCTTAATCATCTTTATACTCTCTGTATGTGAAACAGATTATGATTTGGAGGACAAGCAGGCAACTGTAGCAGGCTGGGGCAGGAATGAGAAAGGTAACCTCCAGAGTCAACTTCACTACCTCCAAGCTAATGTTGTGTCCAACAAGCTCTGTGATGAACGCTGGAATACTAAAGGTTCCCCAACAGGCTTCATTGTCCCTTCCATGCTCTGTATGGACTCAACAAATGGAGACTCATGTAATGTAAGTTAAATACTGTAAACTGTAGTTAACTACATATATTTTGGATATGTATGTATGCAAAATAATGTTGTAGTTAACATGTGTGTTCATATATATTATCACCTCCATGATACTTTCTCATCAAAGACTGTCTCCTTATTTCCTATCTTTCTCTTTGCTTCTGTTCTGTTCATAAAGTAGCTTCCAAATTCAGTCAATAGTTTTACATTATTATATGCTTGCTGGAGTCATCCTTACTAATTTAGCAAAATTTAATTTCTCATGGCAATTGGCAAGTTATTCATTTATGTGATGCCCAAACTAGTATTTTGGAAAATGAAATGCAGTACATTTAAGTTGCCGCTTTAATTGTTTTTAGCATTTAACCGTTTCTTGTGGTAATTGCTTAACTTATTTATGCTCAGTGTCTCAGTGCTTGAGGATATGTTAATTAATAGAATCAGTGCAAGTGTGAGATATGTCATACAAACTTGATAATTTCAGCAGTAGCTTCCTACATCTTCTAGGACTGTTGTTGTACTAGAAATTGTTATTGGAATACAGTACTGTAGTTGTAGCAGTGGGAACAATAATACAATAAATATAAATACAATTAACCCTCACTTTTCACAAGTTCATGGAACACGAAATTGGCTTTGCTACTGAAAAAATGCGATAAATAGCAACAATATGTATTTTCTCAATACATTATAGTGGTAATTCATGAAATGAAGCTTTAACTGAGGAACAGGATACTGGGGGGAACAGTTCTGGTGTGGGTAATACAAGGCCATATTTGATAGTGCTAATTTCTGCCAGGAATGGTTGGCAGATGACGAATGGCAGAGGTTACTGTATTAAGTGCTCCTGGTTTGCAGGGGCACTGAATAAAGTGTGCAGATGCTGGTGAGATGTTGAGACAGGAATGTCACCCTGTGTTATGAGTTGTCTTCTGTCAGTTATTCAGACTGGTTAGCATTTGTACAATACTGAAGGATTTCTGAAAACATTCAACTCATATGTCATGCTACCTGATTGTGTATGATCCTGTTGAAGGGAACATAGGGATCTTAAAAGGAACAAGACTTTTTGCAAGTGTCTAGAATACATCCCTATTTTTTCCATCCTTTATTGCCTTGACTTTGTTTCACACGTTCCCTTATTCTGATGCTTTCCCATCTTGCATCTCTCATGCATAACAAGGGGCTTACTTTACAGCATTAGAAACACTAACATAAATAATGTTAGTCTGTCTTGTCAAGCATTTTCTCATTTAATTCTCTAAATTACATTATTTTTCCAATTGCAGGGTGATAGTGGAGGTCCATCTATTATAGAGGAGCCTGCAGGCTCTGGTATGTATGTCCAGGTGGGTTTGGTGTCCTTTGGCTCCGGATCTTGCACAGATGAAAAGCTTCCTGGTGTGTATACTAGGATAGGCTATTATAATGATTGGATCAAAGCTCAAATGACCTGATTTTTTTTTTACCACTGTCTGATAAAATTTTAAAGTTAGAATTGTTAATATTCATTGCCTGTTTTGATCACTTTTGATTATCTAAACTTTTTTCACTTTTTTCTTTTCCAACAGATGTTTTAAAAATTATTCAGTTGATAGATTGATAATAAATACATTGACATAAATATAAAGTATGTACCTATATAATATTTAATTTTTAACAAGTCTTCATTATAATTGGAATTCCTTCTATCCTGCAAACAGGATAGAGTGAATGTAATCAGATCGGAAAATTATTTGCTCATAATACTAGCTATGGCTTCAGTAGCAGGAACACTAATAATTATAGGTCCTTCAATATTTTGTAATTACCATACCTATTTCCCAGTAAATATTGCAATATTTATTATATCATTTCAAGTAGTATTGCTAGCCACAGTATACTCAATATTTAAAAAAAGAAAAAATGTAATATTTTTACGTAACTTTTTGAATCTTAAAAGAATCCTGTATGTGAAATTATAATTTATTAGCTTTAATTGCTATTAGATATAACAATGTTTATTCACAGTGGTGTTATCATAAATGTTTTGTGGCTGGTTAAGGAACCATTTACAGGCATTACTCATTAATTTTCTTAGCATGTATTTATAGTTATCATAAGTTGAAGAGTACATTAGTAAACTTAAAGAACATGGAAACATTAATAAAGGCCATGTTAACATGTAACATCAAAATTCAAGGCTACCGGCATCTTCGTAATTTATTATATATTGCACAATGTTTTTGTCCTAATGGGAAAAACACATGAATAGCAATTTTTTTTTAAGAAAATTTTAGCAAAAAAAGAATTATAAATTTTGTTAGCATTTACATTGTGATTTACACTTAAAAGTTTCAAGAATGTATATTACTTTTGAATACAGTACTGTACATGAAAAAGGAAAAATCTATAATTTTTGCTCTATTAAGGTCAATACTCTTCTAACTGCCTTTTGAGATGATGGCCCCCTACATCTGATTATAAGAACTCATGGTCCACCTCCCATTTTGCTAAGCTAGGATCATGCTTGCATTAAGCTTAACCCTAAATTATTGATATCACACAAAACACATAATTATCATGCCTATGATGAATCTCTGTGGCCAACTCAGAAAACTGGCCATAGTGTATCAGATGGGAACCAGTGGTATAGATGCTTGCACTCATATATATATATTTTCCTTTAAAATTACAACTGATAATACAGTAAATGACTTTAATTAGCTGAGAAATGTTTAATATATCCTGATACACATTTGTTCATCAAGGGCAAACTGTTGTACTGTTATGTCATATTACTACAATTTTATATACTGGGTACTGTAATAGGTTCATATACTGTATTCTATGCTTGGGATGAGGCTGATATTTATTCTATGCAGTTAAAACCTGATACTTGTTTGATTTATAATAAATTTGAACATTAATGGAATATCTGAACACCGACCAATGGCTTTCAAGAAGAAACGTTTTTATTGCCATTGTGTGTGTAATGCTTAAGTAGTGAAAACTACCACATGAAGTTTACTACAACAAAGAACACATCGTACACTTTGGTGTTTGTTTCTCACCTTTGGTTTCATCAACAAACTGCTTTATTCAGTACAACCCACAGTCATCAGGAAAAGTTCACTATACAGTACAGTATATTCTGCACATGCCTGTCCTTTTGTTAAATTAAATTAAATTACAATAGACTCATAGTTCTACACGAGAGGTTTTTATGCCCTGCACTTCTAAACGGAAGAAGACGGGAGATAATTGATTTGTTTAAAGTACGAGTACAGTAAACTTTCTGTCTTATCACAATTCTAATTATACACTGGCAAAAACTTAGCAGTACGGATCAGTTATCATAGCCATAAAGAATAAGTCAGGCAAGTTTTGGAACAGTACACACAGTTGGTGAGATCAATAATCACATGACAATTTTTATAATAAGATTATTAATGACCTTTTCTTCATAATTTTGAAGATGGTTTCAGTCTGGGTTAGACAATCACCAATACTGTAAAATGTTTAAAACCAGTTTTTGTAAGTGTTTTAAAAAAAAAAATTCTTTAATAAGTGTGAGACCATGATGATAAACAGTTGATTTATTGTTAAAGTTTTATTGCTAACATCACGATATCACAACCATTAAGAAATTAAATATATTGTCTCGTTAATGCATATATGCAAGAAAAACTACAGTGAACTGGGAAAAATAGTACAAGTAGTTTCACTTCTTGAGGAGTCTTGAGTCTCGCAACTTAAAGGTGAAAGTTTTTTCTCTTTTGTTTTATCTCTTTTTATACTATTTTTCCAGTTGACTGTTGTCCTTGCATTTTGAGGTGACATGTTCTGTGACATCATGCATATGTATTTATATTAATATAAGCAAGTTATTTGTTATTAAATGTTGTTGTTACACAAGATAATAAAACTGAAAAGTAATAGTGTTGTTAAATACTACTGGGTTTACCTGGATAATTGTGTGTAATTTGTATGGTTTAAGCCATTCTTCCCCCCCCCCCACTTATTTCATGAAACATTAAAGTTAAAGCTGCAGGATCATTGCAAAGGGAGATGAGTAATACTGTATCTTAATCAAGTTACTGTATTGCAAAATAGCCTTAGATGATACTAAGATTTTAGTTAGCAGACTAATGGGAGGGGCATAACCTATTCCTTCAAAATTAATGTGGACCTTACATCATTAATAAAAGATGGGCTCAAGATTTATTAGCTGTCCTCGTCAGATTTAATAATTTCCGTTGTCAGCGACAAGAAGCCAATACTTAAGACTAGTAGAGGTCCTCCCACCAGGCCAACTACTAAAACAGGTATTGGTTACCAGGAATGGCTCGAGGAATTAAACCTCGTGTCGATGGAAGACGAGTTAGGAGAGACTTGATTATTACAAACAAAATTCTCCAGGAAATTGATAGGGCAGACACGGATAGGTTATTTAGCATTGTTATTCAAAGAAGGGGACACAAGTGGAAAGTAAATACCCAAATGAGCCACAGAGACATTATAAATAATTTTTTTCAGTGTCAAAGTAGTGAATATATGGAATGCAGTAAGAAATAAAGTGGTGGAGGCAGACTCCATACACAGTTTCAAATGTAAATATAAGAGCCCAATAAACTCTGGAACCTCAACACTGGTTGATTGAAAGTTGAGAAACAGGACTAAAGAGCCCAAGTTCAACCATGCAAGCACCAATTACATGACTACACCTGTGAATTACCAAAATCCCACAGCAATTGCATCAGAATCAATGACTTCATTCAAATAATAAATTACCAGCTGACAGGAGTCAGGGGAGGCATTACATAATCTTGTCAAATGTCCACCCAAAAATTAAAATCCCTTTAAATTTTGTCCACTAATCTCAAATATGCTTTGCAACATAAAACTTTCTTAGCTTTCAGTAAAAATCTGACGTGATAGTTACTGCTGTGCAATCTTAATATACATGATATAAGATTCAAACCACTGCAAAGAAACTGTTAATATCTAAGTACTATACATTAATTGTATAATTTTAAATGCTACAATACCTAAGAACATCACTTAAGTAACTAATTCAAGCTAGAATCAACTACAAAAATACATTTTACTCTTATTTCCTAAGTACTAAAAAATGAATCACTACTGTATATAAATAACTATGTAACTCATCATCTGTACATTAATGTATTTTCAAATGGAGTGGATCAAGCACACACTTCCTCTCATCCAACTCTCATGTACTATCCCAAAATTATTTTTTTGTATTGTACAGTACAGAAAAATCTGATCTACTTGTCTAACTCATCAAAACTCGAACCGCTGCTCAATTTATATATTACTGTTTCGTTTATATTTATTTACAGAAATATACACTATTTTACATAATTTATTTATACAATTATTTACATTAGATGGGTTACTCAGCTGTGCCTGGATCTTTCCCTCCCTCCCAACATGCCCATCTCCTTCTCTCAGAGAATTTAATATTATGAAGTACTAAAAACTGATAAATAATTCTGGAAAATACTTTACTCAGTTCCAGATGCCATGAAAATTGCAGGGGGTCACTATAGATGCCAATAATTCTTCAAGACTGATACTGGGGTTGACCCCAACTGGCCTATGACACTTTCATACCCCATGTGTCATGTATAAGGCTTAGTTAATTAAGGGGCAGTTTTTCTAGGTTTATAGTTATTACAAAAGTGAAAGATAAAAGTTATTTTCCTTATTAATCATCATCTCTAGGGTAACACTTAGGATTTTTAGACAACCTCCAGCCTATTTTTGATATCTCAATAACCAAATGTTTTACAAACATTCATATATTAACACTAAACTCTTCTGGATTATATCATACATGCCTTAGTTTCTAGCTACCATCTTTAGCCTTAGCTAAAATTTGTTTTTAATTGTTAGTTCATATTGGAGTGTCTTAAGAAACCTTATTATTTGAGCATGTGCTGGTCCAAATTATAAAATGCACACAAGCATGGAAAATATATTTATGAGTAGTATAGGAGAGGACATCCAGGGAACTTCAAGTTGACTCGTTCTCATCCCACTGCTCTCCCTCAAACATATCATTCCAAAACTAATATAAATTTAATATTACAGTGGTACCTCCATTTTTTAAATTAATTCGTTCCCAGAGACAGTTAAAAAACTGAGAATTCAAAAACTGAAACAAATTTTCCCATAAGAAATAATGTAAATTGAACCGTTCCACACCCCAAAAATATTAACTTAAAAATACATTTTAAACTACAGTTTGTACAAGTATATCTTACCTTTATTGAGGATTCTTGTTGGTGTATGGAAGATGGTGAGGAAGGATAGGGGAGAGGGGAGAAGAAGTGTTGTGTTTGGAGGGGGAGCCCCCTTCCATTATAACAGCAGTGATGACATTTCTAGGGTACTCTCTTACATTTTGCATGTATACCACTAGGATCTGGTTGTGGCTCACTGCTTGCTTGTCTTACTAAGAATCTGTCTATAGATTCTTTGTTTTTCCCTACGTTATAACACTTGTCAACTTTTCTATAAATTATTTAGGATTTGTTAATTAAATAATATTTTTGGAGTGAAATATAATGATCTTTCTATTTGAATGCTGCCAAAGTATACATGGAATAGTCATCTACACACTAGTATATATTACATAATTTTTTCCTAGTAGAACTAAATCAAATTTGAAACATATTCTTTTTGTACAAGCTTTGCAATGGTGTTGAGCTGTATGTGAGATGTGCCTTCATAAATTGTGCCAATCTTGCAGTCCCGGTAAAATTTCTCAACGGGGTAATCTTTCGTGAAGCCAACGCCACCCATTAACTCGACACACTTGGAGGTGACACGTGTTGCTACCTCTGCAGACACAAGATATTCATGTGTTAAGTATATCAAATGTGCTGTGCTAGGACAAATTAGCCTATAATACATGACTATGGTATTAGTTATAATTCTCTCCCTAAAGATAAACATTGAACATAATTGTCCCAACACGGCAGGTTTGTTTAAGAAAAATTTAGTACGGTACAAATAACTTCAAACACTGAAAAGCAAAACAAATTAATTTTGAAGTTAAATAGGTTTAGACTAGAATAGACTAGTTATATTAAAATAAATTATGAGGACCCTGCACATGATTTTCCCTGCCTTCGTGTTATGTTGGAGACTCTCACAACCCAGTAGATCACAATCTATGGAACACCTGTCTGAGGAGGGCCATATTCTGTGAGGCTACCTTGTTCAGTTGACTTTAGTGTGTGGGTACCGCTGCTCCGGCAATCTAACTACCTCCTGGATAACTTCTGTTAGCTGTGTGCCCTAGGTGACATTGCAAGAGGTAGTTGGAAAACAGTTGAATCTTTCACTCTACACCTTTCAAACCAGTTTTAACAAGTAGTGAGTTAATCCTACATTATGCTAAAAACCTCTATTTGATGATCACATGGAAACTATCTAATGATAAGATATTCTCCTATGATCAATTCTTAAGTCACGCAAATATAATAAATAATAATTAGCAGCTTCCAAACTGTCACCAACATCACCCCTAAAGTAAATGTTGCAGTAAATGGCCACAGCAAATGGTGCAAAAAATTATGGATATCAAGTATGATGTGAAGCGGAGATGCTGTAAAAGTATCACCAAACCAAGAGCAAATGGGCACACTTGCCTATCTGTCATATGGTGTAGCATTGGTAGTCAATGACAACAGCAGGGAAAAAATAAATCTTTAATGATGAATCTCACTGGTAGGATGGACCACTTTCTCCTTTCCCATGGGAATAATGGAACACTCCCCCTCTCTTTCTAAAGTCCCACACTACCTGAATATAAGCTTATAACTATAATGTACAATGATTTATAAAATGTCTGCAACCATTATTTTACTTTCATAGAGATGTTTATATCAAAGGTTTCCAAGTACAGTAATTATTTAACAAAAGTATACAGTACAGTATACATCACAGGGATTACCTAATATTTACTAATTATCTAGCAGTCTATAGTAATCTAGTGGAGCATAAGACATACCTGAACTGTAGAGTTTAGCCATGGCTGCCTGTTTAATAAAAGGCAGGCCAGCCTCTTTCAATCTAGCAGAATTGTACACCAGCAACCGAGCAGCTTCAATTTCTGTTGCTAAATATGCAACCGCATGCTGCATGGCCTGTAAGAGATTCCTTTGTCTCAGTATTTTACTAAAAACTATGAACAGGCTCACAACATATTAAAGGTAGGATTTCAAGACCATTAATACCAACTCACTTGTACGAAAAGAAAGGAAAGTGAAGATATTTCAGTCCATCTTGGACCATTATCAAGTCATGTCAAGGAAGAGGAGGAAAGAGAATCAATCTAATGCAAGAATACTTAATAAGGGCCCAGGATGGATTGAAATGGTGTCGCTTTCCTTTCTTTTTACATGTGTGGGTTGGTCAATGTTATTGTAACTTATTCTCTGCATTTCAGAGACATAACAAACAGTTTACCACTTAGCATATTTACCATTTCTATGAAACTCTTCATCTGTACCATACTGTATTTTCTACTGGAACAGAGTAGATCAAGCATACACCTCCTCCCATACCACTCATATGTACTATCCCAAAATTACTTTTATGTACTATAAAGGAGGACCTTGAAAATTTGTTTTGAAATTTGAAAATGCCATAATTACTCTCGATTAATAAAAATTAATCGAGTTTTTAGTAAACAAAAATCTATATACAGATCTTAACATTATGTCTAAATCCAACAATATTAATTTTTCTCCTATACTTCCACTATTGATAGATATAAAAAGAATATACAGTATATGGATGAAAACATGAAAAGATAAATACATCAAAGTGATGATCAAGCCTGTTAAACCATTGAAAATCTGCTTTGGGAAATTATTGTGTGGGCAAGCTATTATGTCAGCATACAGCAGTCTAGATTAAATACACAATACACAATACCTGGAATTCAAAAAGACTTTGTCCAAATTGCCTTCGCTGGATAATGTAAGGTACAGTAGAATCGAGGCAGCCTTGTGCTAAGCCTACCATCTGAGCACCGATACCAATGCGACCCTCATTTAGCATCTCTATAGCATATTTGTAGCCGTGCCCAAACTCTCCAAGAATATTTTCTTCTGGGACCTGCAAGTAAGGGAAAAAAAATAGCAAAATCATCCACTAATACATACTTAAGCAACTAAAGCTACTGTGCAGCAACTTCCATAAACAATGGGCAAGATTATATTTCTCTGCACAAAGCAATACAGTATAATGCTTAGACAGAGTTAAGCAAGTTTCACAAAAATTACATTTGATATAGATAATGTTACAGGTGCATAAGAATGACAAAACTGTTCCTCTGGAAGCAAGCTTAAAGCAAGGCATTCTAATAGAAGATAGCAACTTACTCTGTAGGAAAATACACATTTAATTTAAAATAAAAAAGATACATAACAATAAAGGCTGATCATCCAGGACAACAAAAATTAATAACAATGAAAACTATTAAAATTTATTGCTTTAGAGGCCACAAGTTGGTGAATCAGAGTAAAGCTGTTGGTGTGAAGCTTTCCCCTATTGACAAATGTGCAACAGTTTATTTCAACTACACTCTCAGGAAACTACAGTATCCCAACCATAGTATGGAACTCACCTTGACCAGATTGTTTCCATCCAGAAGTGCTATCTTGTTACCTGTTGATGATTTCAATCATTGTTCTATTGCAGCCTTTCCCTAGTAATTACCTGGTCTATGAGACTGTCAAATAACAGCACTAGAGCAAAGCCCAGTCTTGGGTATGATTAACTCCTGGTGTTCAACACATTACTGGCTTTCACTCCTAGTGCCCAGAGTGCTATTGATTCACTACCAGTGTTCAAAGTGATCATATCTAATCAGATACAAAAATACATAAAACTTACTATTACATTGTCAAAATGAACACTGCAGGTATTTGAGGCTCGCAGGCCTAGCTTGTCCTCCTTCTTGCCAATACTCAGACCTGGAGTTCCTGCATCAACGATGAAACAAGTGATGCCTTTGTAGCCCTGCAGGTAACACAACAAACTTTATTGTCCTCATATGAAAACAGAAATGTATTTAAACAACAAAATAAAAAAGGCTAGAATGATCTGTCATTCTTTTAGTACCCCCCAGTGTAGTTTAAAGATGTTTACTGCTCGATAACCCAGATCACAATCTGAGTGATACAGAGGAAAGGATAACAGCAAATTATTTTACATCATATAATCAATGCCATAATGTATATGAACAATTGTTATTTACATATCTTGTAATGTTTGATGGAGTCTTATGATGTATATACAGTAGTGCATTTCTAATGTGTGAGGATATACAGGTATGGTCAATTTACTTATGTTAGGGATTTGGCTGCCAGAACCAATAAGAGCAACAGACAGATATGGTAACTTCCCAACACAGAAGTGACCATACAAGAATTTCCTCCACGAGGTTTCATAACTACACAAACCTTTCACTTTTTCAAGCTGTTTACCCTCCCCTGTCCTTTCTATCACATATTATTTAACTCTCAATATCAAAGATATTGGTCACCTGCCTCAACTATGTGATTTACCTACATCACCTTTGTACACACACTTCTTGTTAAACAATTCTCAAGCATCCACTTTACTTGTCCATACCACCTAAGTGTAATGTGCTTCATCCACTCCACACTTCACTGCTTTTCACTCATAGGACACGCCTCATATACTTTCTCATTACAAGACCCAGCACATATTTGCAAGTTGCTGAACTTAAAAGAGCTACTTTCCACTGATTGTACTCTTAAGAGTACACTGACCATTTCATTATATTATCTGCCTCTCCAATCCCAAGCATTAATCTCCCTCTTATTTCACCTTCCATATTTTTATCAACCACTGTCCCCAAATACATTTTCTCCATTGTTATTCTACAGTTGAAATCATTGGCATGCCACTATAAAAGGGTTTGAAAAATCTACATCTGATTCCTTTCCCTCCAACACCATAATCTTACTTTTATAAACTTAATTGACTTTGTCCTCTTGCCCATACTATGAAACTCACTCACATCCTTTTACTATTCCTTCTCACTCCAAGCAAAGAAAGCACATTACATGGTGCTGTAATTAGTGAAGAAGTTCAGGAAGCATAATGAGTACAGGGAGTATAATGAGTGCATGCTGGTGTATGCAGAGACCTCATGGAAATACCTAACCAGGAGACAGTCTATAAAGCAATCAGCAGATATACTCAAGCTAAGAGACCATTTTAAGTTGTAACATGAAAACCACCACCACCTTTGGCCTTTTCAACTTAAAATGAATAGGGAATTTTTTGTTTACAAGAAGACTTAAGGGTGGAATCTAATTAAGATAACCAAAATATTATTGAAGCTTATTTCTGGCTTGGTTAAAAATGATGTTTAACCTTAATTGCCTTTGCAATCATATCTTAATGATAATTCCTTACCAACATAAAGGCACAGACAAAATACATATACAATTTCTTTAGTAACTTACAGCAGAGAGATTTGCATTTGCCATGACCAAGAACACACCAGACTGTGGGGCTGATGATATCCACATCTTAGAACCATTAATGATGAAGTTGTTGCCATCCTTTACAGCAGTTGTTTTCAATGAAAATGCATCTGATCCAGACTCTGCTTCAGAAAGACAGAAACTTCCTGTCTAAGGAAAAAAAAAAAAAATAGTGTTGAGTGCAATGAGATGCCCTTTTCTGGGCTTAGTCTGAGTAGTTCCCCATTGTTTATGCTCTGATCAGACTAAGAAATGTCAGCTATCCACGAGACTCCTTTTCTACCATGGATAAGGGTTTTTGCAATTGGCAAAACCATAAAATTGAAAGGGTCCTTGTCACCAGTACACAATGAGTCTCATGGGGTACCTGGCATTCACTATAATAACAAAAGCACAAGTTCAAGGGTGCTACTCATTATGTAGCCCAGACAAATTAATTTCAATAAATTTAAAAAAATTGACATTTTACATTTTTACATATTTCGTTGCAGTAATTCAGTTAAGACTCCACTCGCTGGGTATTGCTACTCGGTGGACATAACTATTAAATAGCTATATTTACACTCTCTAAGTATGGAACAACCATTTGCAGGCTATTTTATAAAATAAATGTTAACTGCATCTCATTCATCACTGCTGTGTAAGAAGTAAAATAGTTTTTGGTAAAGAAGGACCTTATGCTAAGCTTATGTTAAATATTTGTCCCTCATTACTTACATATTCAGCTGAAAGCTTAGGCAGGTACTTGTTCTTTTGATCTTCTGTGGCAAAATTACGGAACAAGGAGTTTATCAGCGTGTTCTGAACATCACACGTAGCACTTACAGAAGGGTCCACTTTAGCCAATTCCTCAATAACTAAGTTTGCTACAAAAAATGTAGATCCGCAACCACCATACTCTTCTTGTATTTCAATACCCATGAACTGAAAATGGACAAAAATTATATATTTGATTACAGCAAATATTTATTTGAACAAAATCATTTGGTTACTCCCTAAGGTATGATCTGCTATGTCAACAGACCAGGCCAGGTGACATTCTGGCACAGGGCATTTTCAAACAACCATAGCAGGGTCATATATGGTTATGACAGATTTACAACACCCTTATTTGTATTTCTAACTACTTGATAATCTTGACCATATCCCCCTCCCTTGTTCTGCATCTCTAAAGTAAACATATTGAAACCTCAGTCTTAGTAGAAAAGGCTCTTGATACCATGTATCAATCTTGTCATACTTCTCTGTATTTTCTCAGGAGTGTCTATGTCTATTCTGTATTACAGTGGCCAGAATTACACAGTGTAGTCCTAGTAGGCCTCACCAGTTCCCCCTGATGCAAAAGGATTCAGGATTATTGATTCAGGTTTCTGTTGCTGAAATTTTATATTATAAATTCCAGCACATTGTTAGCCTTATTTAAGGCATTAATGCATTGCTGTCTCAGTCCAGTATGAACCTGCAGGGACTGTTTTAAAAACCTTGATGTGCACCACTGCAGAATGTATGCCGACCCTGGAAATCTATGATCCTTTCCTCTGCAACTAGAAGCTGCCATGCCTTTGGGACCTCCATGTGGAACAGCTCATAAAAGATGCTCTTGAAAATCAGTTGAAGGTGGAGATAATGCAGACCAGTAGTTACTACTGCAGTGCAAATGTAGCCCAAGAGGAGAACTAGTAGAGGGGGAACAAGTATTCATATTACTTCAACTACGGTACTGTTTCCTAGTGCAGTTAGGCCCAGCCATTTTTGTTCCTTCCAATAAGCAATGTCATTTTTAATACAGCAGTTCATTGCACCATTTGTAATCATATTAAGTGTGTTAAGACTACAGAACATAAATAAAGCAGTAAGAAAATGTGAGTGGACTAAATGTACATGACAGTAAACATAAGTTGATTCTAAGTACACTACTTTATTTCCAAATGTTCGACATATATTATCTGCATTAATTAACTACTGTTATAACTTTCTATAATCTTGAAACTATTGAAACCAGAAGTGAATAGGTCCCCTGTTCAAATGAAAGATAGACAAATAATAAAGGCCTATACAGCTATAAACTCCTTGTATCTACAGGCCTAATTGTCTGGTTAACAATAAAATACATAATTTTTTTTTGTATTAAGTAAGATTCTTTGTGAACATGGGTGTTAAATGTAGACAGAAAATTCAGAAATCAAACTTACCCCATTGTCAAACAAGCCCTTAAGAATAGATTCGTCAATATTACCCTCGGCATCCATCTTGCGGACAAGAGGAGCAACCTTCTCACTGGAAAATTTTGCCACTGTGAACATGGAAACAAAATTTGTTGTAAACATGTTTTACAATAATATATTTTTTTATATAATGCTTAACAGATTACAAACATCATGAATTTTGTATACAGTATAAAATTAGTTATACAAAATATTGTATATACAGTGGTACCTCGGAATGCGAGTGTCCCTGTATGCGAGTTTTTCGGAAGACGAGCAGGATTTACTCCAAAAATATGTCTCGGAAGGCAAGGGTTACCTCAGGACGCGAGTTTGTTGATACGTGTACAGGCCGACTGGCGCGTGGTGGCATGGCGATCGCGCCTCAGTTTACCAGTGTCTCGTGTCCAGTGACTATCCCACCTGAATTCTTCACAAGGATTTACAGTTTTTTATCGGTTTTTTGGCCATTTGAGCATAAAAGTTGTCATTATATATCTTGCCATGGGTCTCAAGAAAGCCATTGGTAAGGTTCAACCTAAGAAAATAGCTGTGAGTAGAGGATGTCAATTCTTGATTAAGAAAATGTGTGAAGTATGGGAAGAACTGCAAAGTTTTGTTGAAAAAACTCACCCAGATAAAGCTGTAGCAGGCCGTTGCATTGATCTTTTAAACGATAATGTGATGTCTTACTACAGACAAGTGTTAAAATGTAGGGAAAAACAAGTGTCATTAGACAAATTCTTAGTAAAACAAGCAAGTCCTAGTGGTATGCAGGCAAAATGTGCCAGAGTGTGCATACCAGTGAAGTCCTCACTGCCTGATGTGATAATGGAAGGGGACTTCCCTTCCAAACAGTAACTCCTCTCTTCCTCCCACCTCCTCACCATCTTCCATACGCCTACAGCATTCAACAGCAAGGTAAGTAATAACTTGAACATAGTTTTGTAGGTTTATTTAGATGAATTAGGTATAAAAATTTAGTTTGATGTGGGGTTTTTGGGGTAGTCAGGAACGGATTAATTCATTTCCCTTTATTTCTTATGGGGAAATTAGCTTCGGAATGCGAGTTTTCGGAATACGAGGCGTCTCCAGGAACCAATTAAACTCTTAAACTGAGGTATGCCTGTACTGTAGTATAGCCATGGTTTACGATCATAGACATACTGTGGCAACAGTCAATCAATGGAGTTCTAGGCCTACTGAGGATCACGAGCCAGAACCTGGCTCCCCCCGCAGAGAGGCACGAGGAGCAATGGTCTATTGACATCCCCATGTAGTTGGAAGCATTCTATGTCTGCCATCTACCAGGTCAGGCACCCAGAAAGATAGGAACCCCAAAACAAACTACATCTGGTTAAACATTGCAAACCGAAAGCCGAACGAGCAAGCAGAACTTCAAAATTAGAAAACAAGCAAACAAGCATGATGTCACCACAGCCGCCATCTGTGCAACTCCTCCCTCTCTGGGTGGAGGAAGGGGGGCATCCCAGACCTACCGTGCCAGCCACTCAACCCCAGTTCAGAGACTGAATATAAAAAACAAAAACAAAAAACGCCAACCGGAGGGAGGGAGGGAGGAAGGGATGGTTGTCGGGGAGCCTCCGGGTCTCACCCAGAAAATGGCGTTTCATTACATTCAACGCCGGTTTTCTGTGGAGAGCCCTTCCGGCTCCCTGGAGCTACCTAACCAAAGATAAAGGAAAAGAGGGACTTACCCGGGAGGCGGCCACCACTTGAAGTCGAAACAACTGGCTGCAACCTACGACCCACAGCTACACTTGTCTGAGAAGGGCCCAGGAACATTAACGAGGTACCATGCAGCAAGGACCCTGTTTGACCTACAAAAGCCCTGTGCCCAAATGTCAGCCCAGGACACAAAACATGATGCACCCACGGTCGAACCAACCAAGAATCAACAACTTAAGGACCCCTCCGGAAAGCAGCAGTCTCATTCTTCGCCAGAAAAGAAGGAGACGGCTGCAAATGAACAAATCAACCACCGGGACTGAAAAAGCAGAAATCTCTGCACCAGAGGAGAGTATTAAGCTCCTCGACCTGACCCCCAGAAGCTAATGCCAACAAGAAAAGAGCCTTAGAAAAACAGTCCTGAACCGAAGGGGCCACCACAAACCGAGGAGAAGAGAGAAAAGAGAGCACCCGGTCCAACGACCAGGACGACGGTCCTGAAGCAACCAAGAGAGAAAGGACAAAACAACCCAATCAGAAATCGAAGACAACCTACAAAGTCAAGAAGTGCTGAAAGGACTGCCAGGAAACTTCATACTGCCGCCAAGACGAGACTCACAGGTGGGAGAACCATCAATGAAGCCACCTGATCACCATACAAGTGGCGATAAACCCACGTCAAAAAGACCAAATGCGAAGATCGGAGGAGAAGATCGAACCAGCCACATACCGGACCGGACCGATCTGGTGAAAGAGGTGGAGAGGCTGAAAGACCCTCGGGTTCGAACACCGAGCAAGCAGCGCCTGAAACCAAGGCCACAAAGGGGATAACAGGACTGCTCTCCCCTGGTAAGTCTCCAAGAGAGCCAGAACCTGGAGCAACAACCGAACCAGGGGGAAGAGGTACAGGTTACCCCATTTTGACCAATCCAGTCGAAAGGCATCCCCAGCGATTCTCCATAGAATCCCCATTCTTCGCTGTCTAAGGGTTAAATACATAGTGCTCAGTAACATCTTTGTGTAGAAATAGGAGTCAACTATGGTGTACTGTGTATACTGTGCATTTATAGTGTAAAGTGTAAGCTTTTCACTTGTAGTCTACTCAGTTCCCCCTAAGAATGACATGAAAAAATTTATTTACAGCTTATAATCTTTTTAAGTTCCTTGTATAAATCTTTTGTATAACACAAATTATCATATATAAATGATTTCACCAAAGACTTGCTTCACCTGTCTCTTTCATCATCATTTCATCTTCTGTCAGAAGTGTTAGTGGTGAGGGCCTAACCTCTCTGGCTCCCTCATTCTGCAATGCCACCTTATGGTGACACAGACTAGCCCCAGCTCCTCCATGAAGCAGTCGGAAATTCAGGCACCTGCGACCATTTCTTGCCTGTGGATTGGAGTTCAGATAATGTTTTTAGTACAAGTATCAGTATGAAAATTAAAAATAATAAATGACATAAATTGGACACCTGATTATTCTAAGTGCAGTTTGGGAATGTTCTATCCAGAGACCAGGATTAGTCTATCTGGCAATTCTTGCTTCACTATTCATGGAGCAAAATTAATTTGTCTAGAGTGCAAATACTGTAGTATAATAAATATTTGTGAAAACTGGTATTATTCTAAATCCCCTGGAATTATTTTTAATTAATTTTTTTTTATTTAAAATTTAGTCTAGTATCTCCAGTGCACTTTTCACTCCAGTGTCTTTCCACCATGGTGGTCTCTTTTCGTCCCTCTATCAGTGACACTACATCAATCATCTCTGCCTTTCTGTCCTCGTGAACCCAGAATCCTTTTTCCTAATTTCCCCCTACTACACTCTAACATGTAGTGGATTACAGCATGGATTTGCTTTAAGCAATACTCATCAGATGTAATATGAACAGCAGTAACTAAAGTAATCAACAATGTAAGAACTTAATATTAGTTTTAAGATGTAAGAGGGAGAGAATCCCCGGAGATCAAATATATAAGAAATAAGCACGTTGACAAAATATTAAAGTAAATGTTAGTGAAGTGTTAGTTTTGTGTTAATTCTTATACTATAAAACAGTGATACACATTTATTTATAAAGTAAGATTAATTCTAAGCAATTGGGTATCAAAGTAACTAGGACTTAATAATTATATGAGCTAAAAATCAGTATAAGGAAGGCTTTAATTTTTTTGAGAAGCATAATTATGACAGCTTAGATATGTGCAAGAGAGCAGCCCCCATTTTGAGAATTTTAAGTAAAACTTAGGATTTTTATAATGTAAGAGTTAAGACTAAAATGTTATAGGATACAGGTAACATGACGCTTCACCAATGAAGCCGATAATGTTTCATCATTCCCTACTCAACACACACACAGGCAATATAAAATTGCTATAAACCTTACAATCTGGACTCCTGGGTTCAAATCCCAGTTGGGACAAATTGATGGGCATGTTTCCTATTACCAAATACCTCTCTGTTCACTTAGCAGTAAAATAGGTGACAGGAAGTTGTGGGGGTTGCATCCTGGGGAGGATCAGTAGTTCGACCTTGACATAAGCTGAACATACAGACATACATAGAAATATACAGGCTGCCTATTGTCCCAACAAAATTTATTTATTTATTTATATATATACAAGAAGGTACATTGGGATTGTGAGGATACATAGTATAGTAATTACAATCTTGTAAATTCTCATGAATTATAAATATTCTATATAACTATATAATTATTCTCATGAATTATAAATGAGGGTCTCGTAGTACAATTGGGTTCGTTCTCGACTCCCAATCGAGAATTCCAGGTCTGAATACCGGTCTGGACAGAAATGGTTGGGCGCGTTTCGTATCACCTCATGCCCCTGTCCACCTAGCAGTAAATAGGTACAGGTACCCAGGAGTTGGTCAGCTTGTTGTGGGGTTGCATCCTGGGGAGGGTCAGTAATTTGACCCTGGGGGGGGGAAGCCCCTCGATATAAGCTTTACATATACTTTATGTATAAACTGGCTGCCTGTCTCCCGACACAATGAATTATTATTTATAAACTCACGAGAGCTCCTCGGAACACGGCCATGGTTCAAGTGTTTACTTCCTCGCAGGGCTGCCACCCGCAATCAGCTGATCAGGATTCCTCACATAATCATATAAGGCTTCAAACGAGCAATAAGTCAGTAAAATAATTTCATTATATTTATTAAAATACTAATTAATAATTAGAATGATAAGAATGTGAATATAAAGCAGAGCTACAATTTTGCTACCAATTACCTACTTAATATTATCTGTTAGATTAAGGACCTACCCGAAACGCTATGCGTATTAGTGGCTTTATAAGAACGTTAAAACATTAATGCTATATACTCTCATAAACCCAATGTATATTCTTGTATATATATATGAATGAATAAATATTGCGATATGCGGGAGGGTTGGCAGGGGAGGAAGGGACCCAGACTGCCCCGCGCGCTCGCCTTCTCTACCGTGGTGGGACGACGCGGCCGGTATGTATCTGTCTCTCTCTCGTTATCCTTCACAATCCTCCCCATCCGCACGTGTGGCGGCGGCCTGTGAGCGGTGAGGCCTAGCTGGGGGCGGGGGCTGCTGCCTCCTGCCAGCTACCACGCTTCACGCCCCTGGATAGTGATATTATTGTAGATTTTTGGGTTGTGAGTGTAGGTGCAGGAGGTGAGCTTGGCTCAGGGTGGGGATGTAAACACGTGAAGGTTTGTTGCTGTTGGGAGTTATGGTAGTGTTTTTTCCTGTTAATATGGCGATAGTGTGTGTAGGTATTACCACCGCGGCCTTCTGGGAAACAATAGCACAGCTTTAAGGTGGTGAATTAGTGCCGTTGGGAAAGTGAGGTAATATGATTGAACGTGACTTAAGGGGACAAGAAAAGCTGCCAGGTTTAATGTTGGGTTACACACAGTGTTATAACGCTAGTTATTGTTACTCTTCCCGTGCCTCACAACTCTCAAGCTAGACCACGTGGACTGAACCCTATAGTAGTGTGGTGAGGATGAGTCGTAGGCCTATGTATTGTTACAAGTGATATTCAAATTGTTCCATTTGTCTAACCTGTGCTTGAAACGATCTAGTGAGCCTACGTCTATTGTTACCTACCTTGCGGTAATTTCAGGGCTCAACGCCCCTGTGGCCCAGTCTTCGACCAGGTGGCCTGGTTGCTGGACTGGTCAACTAGGTTGTTGAACGCGGCTGCTTGCAGCCTGACATGAATCACAGCCTGGTTGACCAGGTATAATGGGTAAATTTATAAATAAAAAGCCTAGTTCTAAACAGTATTTACCCAGGTCTTACCCGACTATAAACTTGTCAAATTTTTATCCAGTTTGAACATAAGAACAAAGGTAATTGCAGAAGGCCTATTGACCCATGCGAGGCAGCTCCCATTTATAACCACCCAATCCCACTCGTATACATGTCCAACCCACGCTTGAAACAATCGAGGGACCTCACCTCCACCACGTTACGCGGCAATTGGTTCCACAAATCAACAACCCTGTTACTGAACCAGTATTTACCAAAGTCTTTCCTAAATCTAAACTTGTCCAATTTATACCCGTTCTATATCGGGTATATATTCAATTTATTCTATATCGATTTAGTTATAACTTTCCCATTGGTTACCTTTCCCTTTCATATGTTTGCTTTGCAAGCAAATGAATGATGTATTTAGTGAGATGATCGAGGGTGTGTGTAGGTTTTACGTAAACTCCTTCATAAACTCATGAGAGTTCTCTCTTGAGTACCTGTTGCACCTCTGCTCTTAAACTTTTAGCATTTGGTTAAATAAAAAAAAATGATAATCCCTCGGATAACAGCCAACTCATATTTAAGTTGTGTATACACTACACCCAAGGTAGATTTCCAAGGACTTGCATACAGAATCTTTATCAACTGCTGTTACTCTGAAAATAAAATATTGGTTTAGGGAGAAAAAATTACTTTCCACTTTGTCCAATCATATAATTCCACATTCCTTGACTCGTCCCCACATTACAACGATGACCTTGCTATAGTATCTCCCCTGCCTAGCATTTTCTTTTGATAATTTCTTGCCTACAACAGACTAGTAATATTTCAATTTCCACTGCATGTGCTCTTGAATACAGCTATTTTCTCTACCAAAGTTTCATTTTCACATCAGGACAAATGTGCTCTTTTTATTTCTATAGGGCACTAACCTTCCATCATACTATTCACTGCCTATCACACTTCTCCAACACTTCAGTTTCTATACTCTTACCTTAATCATGTCCTATGCCCATTGTGTTTACCCTATCATATATTTTAACTGTTTACACTTGTAAAGCTTTTACATTTTCTGGCAGAGAAAGTTAATCTCCTTTGAGTCATCTAGACCCCTTGTATCTACACGGCCTTGGTCTAATATGGTATCTGGTCCTGTATTGTCGTGTGGCGTTGCATCTGTAACATTGCTCATAACATTGAGTGTTGCTTTTTCCTCCTAACTTATTCTTTGCTTCTGTACATTTCAGTAATTTTTTCTTGTGATTCTAAACATATGGTCATTGATGCATAGTGCAATACCATACTCTCTGCAGCATAACAATTGTCAGCTATAAGTTTCTTGTACCTCCTGCACCATCACTGCCCCACCATATAAATTTTGACGATTAATCTCGGAAACTAGTAATCTTCATTATGAAGAAATTGAGAAGCTCGACCGGCTGTATAAAAAATGTAAGGGATATGAATAAGGGGGTAAATGTATAAGCAAAATAGAAAAAATGTTTGATATAAATTGGATAAGTTTAGATTTATGAAAGACGTGTAAATATCGGTTTGGAAACTTGTTGATTTATGGAACAAATTAGTTTAATAATGCATGTGATTGCTGTATTGTATTGTTTAAAGCATTGGTTAGACATGTATGAGTGGATTTTCATGGGTATAAATAGGCCAACAGGCCTTATGGTTTCCTTTGTTCATATGTTATGGCAGATGATCACCAGTCGTCTAAAAATTAACGAAACACAGACTTCTAACAACTAGAGCTGTGTAAAAGCATCTCTTGGCAGTTTGAACACCACTCCTAATTTTTCTGGGAATATTCAAGCTGTGTAAGTTTAAATATAACAAAACTAGTAAAATATGGTCTAGAAAGTAAACAAAATTAGGAAACCAAGACGTGCTAGATATTTTGTGGCTATCCTACAATGTTTTCTGCTATTATGATGAAAATTGCTAATCCATTCTCTGAGAGATGCAGTTGTTAGGGAGTTGTGGCCTTGTCTTGTCACAGTGTGCAGTCCCTGGGGAATAGGCAGGGTTCTCTTGTCTAGCTCTTCACCTGACACACAGGCTCCTTAACTTCTGCACCAGGTACCTTCCTGGCTCAAAGATTCAGAAAAGGCTGCTGACTAAAGTTAATTTCTCCTATAGTGGAGTTTATTCGTGTTTGACATTAAGATGAAATTAATTATTTTTTCTTTTACAGTATCCACCATGAAGCTCAACAAGCTGAAAACGTCGTCTCGGCGTAAGAACAGAGATCGCTACTTCAATGCACCTTCTCACATTCGGCGGAGGTTCATGTCTTCACCTCTATCTAAAGAACTACGTCAAAAGTACAATGTTCGATCAATCCCTATTCGCAAGGATGATGAAGTACAGGTATAGTTCATGATGTCTAGCTGTAAATAGTAAAATGTAAATTGAATGTCGTGGTGCTGGACAAGCAGTTGTAGTAATTATGTGCCAAAAGAAACTGGTTTTGTATGTGGCATTGCTAGGTGGAATGATATTTTTGAGAATTGGTTGTCCTCACTTCAGCTTCAGTGAATAATCATATAGTTTAGTGTCGTTGATCAGCTCTGGACACGTTTCAAAAGCATGATTTGGAATGAGGCCCCCTATGCTTCTCAGTCCCATTATTTATATATAAAGCAAATAATGTGATCTTTTGCGTGTTTTGTTAAGAATACATTTGTTTTGGTTTTCAGATAGTAAATATAAGAACATGGATTGGCCATATTGTAATTAGAATTTTAGAGGACAGGTGATTGGCCAGTTACACTACAAACAGTGCTCATAGCAAGATTCCTGACCAAGTAATGTCTGCATAAGCCCATCACTTAAAGGTGAACATTACTGTGGCATAAACAAATGTTTTTGATTTTACATAGCATTGAAAATCCACAATGTCTGAAAATCAAAAATTTGTAAAGATTAAAAGAAGTATTGTTGCTCTGTGATGTGTTCAGAGGAAAGGCAGTGCAAAGAACCTTTTATATACAATAGTGAAAATTTGTTAGGCTCCAGACCTTCAGGCATTCTTCTTTAAACCTATATACTGCATGAAATCAACAGTTTGTTCCTTAGACAGCACAACGATAAAAAGGCTGATGTTAATGTGCAATATTGGTTTTTGTGGCATGGTTAATTATGCCAGATTGAAGCATATCGAAGAAGTCTTTATCTCACTTTCAGGGATCTGTTAGAGGAAAAAATGTATTAATTTCAACACTACTGAAACATCACATAATCAGCACCCACCTTGATATAAACTTCTGATGTGTTGACCTACTAGTGTATGGAGAGCAAGATCTATCTAGTCGTTTTAACACTGCATTCTTTAACTTTTAAAGTTGTGGGTGATTGGTTCAACTTTTGCATTACCTTTGACAATTTATTGGCCATCTGGATAGTGTACATGTTTAGTTTTCTTGTCCGGCTCAAAAGTTTATCTTCCAAAAATAGTGAATATTGTGTAAATATTTTATCTTGCACAATATTTAGAGGCTGCTCCTGTCCATGTTGCCTAATTCCGTTAGTATACAGTGGTACCTTGGTTTACAACTGCCCTAGATTATAATTTTTTGGAATACATCATCAAATTCCATGTAAAATTTGAGTTGGTGTACGACGTTTGATTTTGGAATACGACGTCTGTTGAAACTTATGGGTTGAGCAAGGACGTGGTTGTGCAGGCTAGGCATGCTCAGTTTACCAGTGTCTCCCACCTAGTGACAAACACGCTTGAGTTCTTTGTAAAGAATTTTATAGTTTTTCTGCTCTTTGGTTTCTGAACAGTGAAGTTCTTATTACATATCATGCCATGGGTCCCAAGAAAGTGAATGGTAAAGTTCTACCTAAGAAAATAGTTGAGGATGATTGAGGTGAAAACAATAGATCATTAATAGTGAATGAATGTGATGTCTCTCTACAGACAAGTGTTAAAACTTAGGGACGAATCAAATCTTTAAGACATATTCTTAGTAAGACAGCAAGCAGTGAGCCACAACCAGGTCCTAGTGGTATGCCTGTAAAATGCAGGAGTGTACCCCAGAAATGTCAAACACCAACACCTCTCCTCACTTGTCTTCTTTACACAGTCCTCAATATAGATATGATATACTGTAGTACAAAATACTAGTAGTATTCTGTATAAAATGTATTTTTAAGTCAATATTTTTGGGTTGTGTGTGGATCAGATTAATTCAAGTTACAGTATTTCTTGAGAATTTTATTGGTTTACGGCCTATTTCTTGGAACGAATATCTAGTTTTATCTTTAAGATGTTCTTTGTGGTTTTAGTATTGTCTACAATGCAGCCTCCAAATCTGGATTTTCCATGTCCAGATTTATCTGAATTCTATTCACAACCACCTTGCCCGTTTTTGTCAAGCATTTGCTAAATATTCTTGATTTCCATGTCAAATTTACATTGAAATGCACCATAGAATTTTATATTAACCACGATGGGTTCCCACAGCAAACTATTTCCACTTTCTTCCACATGACTGGAAATTGTTTAAAACTAAATCTAATCTACGTTAAAAGTCACCGTTCACATAGTAATTTTACCGAGCAAGTTTTTAAATTTCACTCTGGCATTTGATGGATATCTTCCTGACGAGGTTTCAACCTCATACCCAATGTTTCCAATGCCCTGGCCCTAAAATCATAATGGATCATAGGTTGGTTGGTGTTTGTGAATGTTTTGTAGAATTTGTAATTATATGTTTATTACTTATTTTATAATTGTTTTGTAGGGGAAAACACAATTTAGTGTATCTAAATACAGTACATACACAGTTGAACAGGAAACATACATGTAATCTGCTGGTAAATAATGCTTTGCACTTGCAAAGCATTATTACTGTAGATTATTTATTACAGAAATATTTATAAATGATGACAATTGCTAATCCATTCTCTTAGAGATGCAATTGTTGGGGAGTTGTGGCCTTGTCTGTCACAGTGTGCAGTCCCTGGAGAAATGGGCAAGGTTCTCTTGTCCAGGCCTTCACCTGTCGCACAGGCTCTCCAACTTTGCACCAGAAATGTCTGGCTCTTTGATGATTAAACGGCTGCTGATATAAATATACTGTATACATTTTTACATTTGCACTTACTATACAGCATGATTAGTAAATATTAATTTTCAGAATAATAATTTTGGCAATTCCATTGTGAATGATCTGGAAATTAATGTAACCACACCCAGCACTCCTATCATATCAATAACTATGCTCATTACATTTGTAATGCAGTAACTATAAGTAGCCACATAATGCTTACCATTTTCCCACCTATACCTAGTTTTGAAAAGTTAAAATAAAAAAATTAATAATATATTAGTCTGATTTTAACTAAGTTATATTACATACTCTTTAATTCTTCAGGTAGTTCGTGGACACTACAAAGGCCAACAAGTAGGCAAGGTTGTCAGTGTTTATCGTAAGAAGTACTGCATCTACATAGAGAGAATCCAGAGAGAAAAAGCTAATGGTGCCTCTGTGTATGTGGGCATTCACCCCTCTAAGGTAACCCTTCATCTTTTAGAATACTGTAGGTTATTTATTACAGAAATATTTATATATGATGACAATTGCTAATCCATTCTCTTAGAGATGCAATTGTTGGGGAGTTGTGACCTTGTCTGTCACAGTGTGCAGTCCCTGGAGAAATGGGCAAGGTTCTCTTGTCCAGGCCTTCACCTGTCACACAGGCTCTTCAGCTTTGCACCAGAAATGTCTGGCTCTTTGATGATTAAACGGCTGCTGATATAAATATGTACTTTTTTTACTTTTGCACTTGCTATACAGCATACAGAACTTTTGTTTTGGGTATCTTGAATGTCTTGAATACAAACACATTAGACCTGGCATGAATGCAATGTAGTCAGTGGGAATAGGTGTAAGTTCACCCATGTGTAATACATATTATTGTAATGCATATCACACTAGGGGTTGCTGGTAATAAAACATGCACTCACTATCATTCGGTTTATGGAATTGTGCCTAACCACCTGGACTGGACATTGAGTGTGTCTCGCTTTTTGCAGGTCGGCATTCAATCCCTGATTATCCAAGTGGTTAAGCATCATTCCTTTCCTATGTCCAATTCTAACTCACACACAGAGATCACACTAACGTGATGCATCAAATGAACAAATGATTTGTTCCTATTCTAACTCCCTCTCCTTATCCATTCAAAGTGTTAGTCATAAAGGCTTGGTGCTTTCTCCTGCATTACCTTGCCTATTATTCTTGCACCCACTTCCTACTGCATATTGAATATGATGGATGCATTGGTGATAATTACTAAAACCTTTAATATTCCAAATTTCTTTCGGCTGATGCTACCCTTTGAGCATAAAATAGGATACTGTACAACAAATTTGACACCTCATCTGGGGCTTCCTTAATAACTATTAGTCATCTCCCTACCTCCATCTGCCATTATTTGTAATTTAGTTTCAATTTTAATGGATTTCTGTACTGCATTTTTCTAGACTTCATCTACTTTATATGTAATTATCATTGTTTATTTGAACGTTTTAACTTGAATGTTTGCAGGTGTGTGTGGTGAAGCTGAAAATGGACAAGGACCGCAAGAAAATCATTGAGAGGAGAGCAGCTGGCCGTGCTGCGAGACAAGGCAAAGATAAAGAGAAGTTCACTGCTATGGATACCTCTGCTTAAATAAAGTCTCTTTAATTAATATATTTTTTTATATACCCAATGTAAAACATGAACTGTAATGGTTGTAGATATGTTTTTGGAGGAGCTTGTATTTGTCATCTTGGATCGGGTCTGGACAATCTATATATAAAAATCAAACCAGTCATTCCTTCCATCCACTAATTACTGGATTATAGAATGAATTCTAGTAGGATTGGTAGAAGGTTTTTTATAAATTATTTCAGTACAAGGTATAGTTTTAGAAATTTGGTTAACCTTGTAATCTATTATTAGTAATGGAAAAAATTATTGGTTGTATTATGGATGGAAAAAGTAAAATTGCAATATATTAGGAAATCTTAGTAACTAGATCTAGTATTTAAATTTGTATTACTAGTATTTAAATTTGTATTGTTGCTTTGCAATAGTTAATGCTTCGTGGTTAGGTTTCTTGGATGTTGATGTATTCACTTATTGTGAATTTTTAATGTTTCACAACTGGTCAAATACTCTCTGCTGGGTACGATAATTTGGTTGTCATAACTGATGGATACTGCCCGTCTTGTATTTAGTGGTCATTGTTCCAGACTAATTCTTAGCGGTCCTGAAGTTATTCTCGTCACTACATAGTCCTCCCGGTTTGACAAATTTTGGTATTTCGATGGTCGTCTACATATAAAGAACTTAAACTAACAATATCCCGCACATTTGATTACATAACCTTCCCGGCTTGCCTTCTTTTAATAATTACCACGTACATGTTTTACCGGAGGTGGGGAGGATAATAGATATGTATTGTGGGAAGATTAATGGGTAACTATGGCTGCAGTATTATACGCCAACCAATACTTTGTTTTTTCTAACAAGAGTGAAGCAGCCATATTAAGAGATCTAAATTAAGGTTGAGAGGTGGTACTGAGCCAAAGAAAAAAAATTAGATTTTTGTTTACTTTTTCCAGACTCCCTAAAATGAATAGTACCAAACTTTCTATTTGTCCATCACGTCGACGTTTGAACAATCGTACACGTGGTTACAAAAAGTACTATCTTAGGAGGATGGGTTGCATATTTGTACTCTGCAGGAAGGTATACTATTCTAAAGCACACTAATGGTTCTATACGCACTCAAGAAGGTGGGAAGGCAAGGTATCTGGACCTCGAACTACTCTTAAGACTGCAACTATGTAAGACGGTTCTCTTGGTTCCTTATTCTTTTGATAGTTACTGTACAAAATAGCTATGAATTTTATTTGATTGTTACTAATCAATAATTTACTGCTGGGGAACAAATCCACAAGGACCGTGACGAGGAATCGAACCTGCGTCCGAGAGCATCCCAGACGCTGCCTTAATCGACTGAGCTACGACATGGTCGAAAGGAGATGAAACCGAAGTTCTACTGAACTTACTTGTGGATTTGTTCATTTGATGCATCACGCAATTGTGATTTCTGTGTGTACTGCTGGGGACTTCATTTAACAGTTTCAATTGGTAGGCGTTGTAGGAATGGTTGTGATCATGTTAATAGTTATTGGGTACTATTTTACTGTCATTGTGTACAAACCATGAGATCATAAGAAGCATTCTTGTCTTGATAAGTTCTAACATATACAAAATTAATAACTATCGGTATTGGAGTGTCGGATAATAATGCAGTACAGGGTATTGATATCGGTACACCTCTATATTCACCCTAAAAATAAAAAATAAATTCCACCGAAATGTTCCATTTGAAGTAGGAGTAACCATTTAGGACATATATCTAGCACCGTGTTCAGATAAGATTACTTCCAAGTATAACTGCAATTTGCATACATAAATTTTATTTATTCTGCAAAATAATTTCGTTGGAGATCAATTGAAAAAGAAGGAAACTAAATCGTCTGGCTTGCACTGAAGGACCGTTTTCAATAAGGAAGCATCTTGGTGGGGAAAGATGCAGGCTTAGGGAAATCTCCTCAGGGCAGGGAATTTGCCTTGGCGTTCTCGCCGGACCCAATCCACCTGCTTTGTGCTGGCAGACTCTTAGGATTGGGAGATCACTGCTCGCAATCCCTACAATTACGACTATATCCAACAAACGTGGGCTGGAATACCTCTCTATTGCAGTAAATCAATCGCGAAAGATTTTTTTTTACAGAATTGTTCAAGATAAATATTTAGTATTCCCAAGTTGCCTATGTTTGATGAGAATATAAGAATGAATATGACTGCAGAAGGCCAGTTACAGTCCCCTCTCCCCCCTGTCAGGGGGGGCTGACAGCTGAGTGGACAGCGCTTCGGATTCATAGTCCTGAGGTTCCGGTGGAGGCGGAAACATGGGCAGTTTCTTTCACCCCGATGCTCCTATTACCTAGCAGTAAATAGGTACCTGGGAGTTAGACAGCTGCTACGGGCTGCTTCCTGGGGGTGTGTAACAAAAAGAAGGCCTGGTCGAGGACCGGGCCGCGGGGACGCAAAGCCCGGAAATCATCTCAAGATAACGGAAGGTTTATTGGCCCATACGAGGCAGCTCCTATTTATATCCACCCAATTTCATTCATATATATGTCTAACCTACGCTTGAAATAATCAAGGGATCCTACTTCTATTGTGTTACGCGGTAACTGGTCCCACAAATCAACAACCCTGTTACCGAACCAGTATTTACCCAGGTCTTTCCTTAATCTAAACTTATTCAATGTACACCCAATGTTTCGTGTTCTATTTTGTGTTGATACTGTTAATACCCTATTATTATCCTCTTTGTTAAGGGGAATATTATTCGTGCACTTGTACACCTCTATTATGTCACCCAGAATTCCTCGCCTTTCTAGGACACGTAAATTCTCTAGTTCCGGTAGTACAGTCGGCAACGTTCTCGACGCACAATCAAGAATTCCGGGTTCGAATCCCGGGCGGGACAGAAATGGTTGGGCATACTTCCTTTCACCTAATGCCTCTGTTCACCTAGTAGTAAGTAGGTACTCAGGAGTTAGTCAGCTTGTTGTGGGGTCACATCCTGGGCGGGGTCAGTAACTCGGCCTGGGGGGGGGGGGGGAGGAACCTCCATAAAAGCCAAACTGTAAGAATACACTCCGGCTTCCTGTCCCCCGATACAATGAATTAATTTAAGCTTTGTCAATCTCTCTTCATATGACAGGTTTCTAATTTGCGGGATTAACTCTGTCATCCTACGTTGGACGCGTTCCAGTGAATCCATTCTAAAGTACGGCGACCAAAACTGAACTGCGTAATATAAACGGGGCCTAACCAGAGCAAGCTATAGCTGAAGAATAACACCAGGTGTTTTATTATTAACGCTTCGAGAAATAAATCTCAGTGTCCTATTTGCCGTATTACAAACATTTTTAATTTTTGCATTTAATTTTTGGCTTTAAATTCATACTAATCATTAACTCTCAGATCCCTTTCGCAATCCGATTTCGCAATCTCAACACCATCTAGCTCGTATCTAGTAACTCTATCATTATTACCTAGCCTCAAAACCTTATATTTGTCAGCATTAAACTGCATCTGCCAATCTTTTGACCATTTCAAAACCCTATTTAGATCGCCTTGAAGTGATAGTGAGTCTTTTTCCATGTTTATTTCCCTCTCGATTTCCGTATCGTTGGCAAATTTGCAAATAATGCTGGACAAGCCTAAATCTAAATCATTTATATTATGAATAACAGAGGTCCCACCACAGAGCCTTGAGGCACTCCACTTACAACATTTTCCCACTCTGACTTAACTTCATTTATACTAACTCTCTATTTCCTTTGGTATAGCCATGCCCTAATCCAACTTCTAATCCAACAATCCAACATACTTAATATAACACCCCCAATACCGTGAGCCTCTAACTTTTTAATCAGTCTTTCATGTGGCACTGTATCAAAAGCTTTGGTAAAGTCAAGGTACACAACATCACAAACCTTACCACTATCAACTGCCTCAACTATGCTGGAATAAAATGATAGCAAATTTGCTAAACATAAACGGCCATTAGTAAAACCAAGTTGTGAATCATTTATTAATCTATGTTTTTCAAGATGAAGACGAATGGTATTTGCAATTATCGATTCAAGTAACTTTCCCACAATAGACGTTAAGCTAATTGGCGGATAGTTTGGCGCAAGTGATCTACCTCCTTTCTTGAAAATTGGTACCACATTAGCAACCTTCCACGACTCTGGCACTCTGACTAATGTTTTATTAAATATTGTAGACAATGGATTGCAAAGCTCCTCTTTGCTCCTCACATACATACATACATACATACATACATACATACATACATACATACATACATACATACATACATACATACATACATACATACATGTTGTCTACCCGAGTTGAGTAGGGTGTGGTAGGACCAAGGATCCTTGCAGGTAATATCGATGCTGTTGGAGGTCCAGTTGGTTGTCAAGAGTGTTCAGTAGTCTGAATGTTGTTGAACGTGGGGAGTAAGTTATGTTGTATCAACATACACCGGTGAGGCAGCATGCCACCCCACACTAATACCCCGGACTCTCAACTACACTAACAACGCACTGCTCCACTACCACCCGCCCCACTACCAGTACCACCCGCCCCACTACCACTACCACCCGCCCCACTACCACTACCACCCGCCCCACTACCACTACCACCCGCCCCACTACCACTACCACCCGCCCCACTACCACTACCACCCGCCCCGTGCTAACACCTCGCGGGACACCTCTGGACACGGCCAATCAACGAGAGTAAACTGATCTTCTCAAGGGAAAGATCTTCCCTTGTAAGAAAAAACAAACCAGTTTTATGTTTATCGTTGAATGGTTTTCTTATAATCAACACTCTAAGAGTTTATTTCAAGATAAATAAGGTGACTAGATGTTATTATGTTCTATAAATAACGAGAACAATACTTGGCGTTCTGTGTATGTTATCTGGCATGTATATAACTCTTTTTAGTGTTGAAAAGCCGCCACGGGAGACATCTCCCGTCACGCAGGGTGCAGTTGCACCTCCACAGATCTCCAGTATCATCTATTAATACTGGTAATG